TTGGTAATCACATTTTTTTCCGGGAAAATCATGAAAAAGTGATTTTTCCAGACGAAAATCGATCTGTATCTCATGGAGAAAATATCTCAGGACGGTGATTGGGGCATGGTTTTGTAGCTCTTGTTCCCAGCTTTCGAACGCCACCAAGCGCGAGTCTCTAGCTTATCCCGTTCTCGCGCAATGACCGTTCAAAGATTTCAGGTGTTTTCAGCGGTCCGAACACACTTTAATTTTTCTTTCGCATACCATTCGGACTTGAAAAGCGATTGAGATGATCTGAGTGCGTCAATATGCTCCTAAAGAGTGGGACATTACGCCACGCAATCCATTTCGAAAATCGGAGTCGTGGCCGAAAACGCCCCCTTACCCAGCTGTACCCTTTACGAGACATCCTCCGAGAGGCTCCACGCGGACCTCAACCTCCCGAAAAACGTCGAGAATGGCCCCGTATTTGGAGAGAACATTCCTGGAGATGGATCACCAATTACCTAATTCCTTACGCGGCGGAGTGCGCTGTGCGCTTCCCCGGAATCGTTCCTGAGCCTGATTTTTCCCTACGTGGCGTCGAAGTCTCCCGTCACCCCGCTCGCTCGACCAACGAATTCGGCGACCGTCGAACAGGACTGACTGGGGTTCCGCGCTCCATCATCTGAGAGAGAAGCTTCCTTTTCCCGTTTCGTTCATTCATTCCTCCAACGCAACGTCCGGTGATCCGTCAATGTGATTTGCTCCAGCTGATAATGGCCTTCGTTTGCATACGCCTCGGGAGATCTCGCCGCGGGGAGGGGGAGGCGAGGAGCAAAAAAACGAAGTCACGAACCGTTCCGACAGTCGACAATAAACGTTCGATCGTTCCGATTGAGGGTCTCCATGCGTTTTTAGCTTCGCTCATCGTTTCTTGGGCATGCGATTTCAACGACCGCGGAGTCTTCTCGAGCCGATGTCCTGACGACATCGGATCAATCGGAACCGCTTGAAGTAATCACAGCCGATACTGAGCTCATCCGTTTTCCGTCAGCGTCATTTTTCCCTCCGGCACGCTGATTGTTCCGCTTCCTCAACATGTTTGTGCCTGTGTCGTGCGTTGTGCATAAACAAGTACAAGCATAGTGGCTATCAGCGCAGGATTCGCATTGGTTCCGCGAGCGGTACCTCATGTGAAGTTCGCGAGCCTTAGCGGCGGATAGTTCTTCCTCGAATTGTCTCCCATTTGTGTGAATTCCATTCAGAGGTGAATGACACCCCAGTGAAACTGAGGCCCTCGGATCCATGCTCGGGAACGAGCATCTTAGTTATCCGCATACTCGTATGCGCATACATACATATCTCTTGTATGTCGGTTCCGGCGAGAGCATGAGTGAAAGCGGCGGCCAGGGTAGTATCATCTCTCCCTGCGTGCCCTACTGCGCTCTCAAATTTACCCGAGAGGACGGGCACAGAGAAAACAGCGACCAAAACGCGAGTCGTTTTGCTCAGCCCCCTCGTCGAGCATGCGGAAAGAAATGTCAGACAAAGAGGGACCCGTCGAGCCTCAAGGGGAAGCTCTCGAAGGAGTCGTCGAGCAGCCGAGAGTTCCCCAGGGGAAGCTCAGATGGGAGATCAGCCTTCGCATAGAATGCTTGAATTCTGTCGTTGTGACAGCGATTCCTGTTGTGGTAAGGCAGCCGCGTAAAAATCCTGGGGGTTCCGACGCAAAGATCCGCCGCTTCCTCCGATCTATCCGTTTTTCTATCATCATTTGTCCCTCCACTAAGCTCCTGGAGGGCTTCGCGACGCGTTTCGGTGAGCATGCGCACCGCTGATATTTCTTGTTCGTAGTTGCATGGACCCTGGTCCTGGCGGGTTTCCGAAGCAATCTGCTCGGATCTTCTCTCAGACCGGCTGAACGACGGCACGGTAATCACTGCGTCTGTCGTCCACCGACTCAATCCAATCGGGCATTCCCTCCGCACGACGATCTTCTGAAATCATTACAGCTCACTAAGATAGCTAGACGTAGATGAAGTGAACGACATTTCGAACAAGCGCTCTTTCGTGGCCAGGCCGGACAAGGCCGACTCGCTTCGCCCGTGTGCTCGTTTCCAAAAGTTGCAGGCGAGCGGGCGGGCGGACGGGACCCCCGCCTCTTCGGCCTTGAAGAAGAAAAAGAGGAACAACAACTGCAACGGCAGCAATCTGGAACGAAAAAGCTCCGCTCGTCTGAATCGTGTGCGGCCGACAAGATGAATCCGTCGTCTCGGGCTGTCAGGCGAGCGAGCGAGCGGGCGGGTTAGCGGCTCGGTGATGAGAATAGGGGGTAATTCGAAAGTGATCGTCTTCGTTGCGTCTGTGCGTCTGAGTTCAGACGAACGTACCGTCTCCGATCTGTTGCGTGCCAAGTCTCAGAATTCGTCCCAAGTTGCCGATCTTTCCAGAGAATGATCAAGAATCGGAATTACGGGGGCCTCTTGCGCAGGGAGTTCTTTCTCGAAGTGTATCTTCGATACGGGTTGGATTGGGAGTTTGCGTTCTCTACGTTCGATTGAGCTTCTCCTTGTGGCGGTGCGAGGAATCGTGGCGAAATGACGTTCCGCATAACCTACTACGCTGAGAAGCTCGGTGGGAAACTCCACTGAAAGGTATGAGAACGAAGAGGAAATATCCTTCGACCGTCAATGTTTGCGCGGTGTGGGACTCTGTCTGTGAGCAAGGATGCTCGGTTCCGAGAAGGATCTGAAGGTCGTCCGTATTGTGAATGTCGTGTCTCGCGCGAAGGATCAAGGAGCGTGGCATTATATCAGGATGCGAACGGGATCTCATCAGTCGTCCTTGTCGCTCGTCTGTCTCCAATTCGTTCAATACGCTTGATTTAATCTCACTGGATCTGGCCTTTGACAGGACCAGCTGTGTATCTCGACATGTGATGAAATTCGCGACGGGATGCCGTGATTCCCCTCCGGCGATAAGAAAAGTCGCCAGAGGCCTTGGACTTCACGATTCCCCTTCGAAGAATCCAAACATTGAGATGCTCCTCGCGCATGGGATCCGGACCCGTATTCGGCACGTCCATGGAAGGGTGGATGTCCTAGCTCAAAGCATGCTCGCCGCGAGGGCGGATACAATCGATTACCCGCACCCGGTCTCGAATGAACTTCTTGCGACCCGCGCGGAGCAGCAACATCGGCACGCTATGCGGCTCGCCTTGTACTGCGATTCTCCTGAAGTCTCGAACGAGCAGCATGGGTGCTTGGGATCAAAAGGTCTCATGAAGAGAAACTTCTGCTCCATCATCACGTCGTCGCTCCCTTGAGTATCATTACGAAAACATAGCCTTTCCGGTCTCGATCGTAGTGGAATCATCGAGAGTCAGACTGCGCGGAACGACGAGACAATCAGCTGAGGACGAGCACGAAGGGTCAACCTAAATACGGGGCCGGTGCTTGATATTCACCTTCGGGATCCGTCCTGTATCTCCGGTCGACTGCCGGGCGGATGCGTACTTGTTCTCTAAGAAGAGCTCGACCGCAATGAGGTCTCCACGAAACTAGCAATTGGCCTCGCCGGGAGACAAAGGCAGCTCCATGAATGCGCACACCGAGCGCCGTTCCCCGTCTGTGGGCGGCTCGATCTTGAGGCTCGGTCTCTAACGGTCTCCAAGGGCACCAGACTCTCGCGTTCCTCTCGAAGGACGCGAAAGTGTCATTTTTGTCTTCCTTAGGTAGTGCACTGCTCCGCTCCGTTGAAGATCTATAGTGTCTAGGGTGCTTGGTTGCCTCGGGGTCTTCTAATTCTTCCCATATGAAATACCTCGAGGTACAACCCGAAGTCCAGAGAAATTTCGCGGGAGGAACCCAAAACGGAGTTTTTCTCTTTCAAGTCTCATTCCGTCTCGTTCCGAGCTCGTTCAATAAATTCACGAACGTATAAAGTGCCGCTCGCCCATTCCCGTATGGTTACGACCTTCTCTCGGCGTGCGTAGGCCGTTGTGTAGACGTCCGGAGCGAAGGAAAAGAGAGGATGAAGCTGTTCCGAAACCCCCCCCCTCGAATGCGGGACCTGCGTTCGGCCGCTGCTGAGGGCGCCCAGGTTTTAAGATGAGGGGAGCATCGCCTTGAACATGGTCTTAAGTCAACCCATATGTTAGACTCGACGTCCCGATTGCGTCCCGTTCGTCTGGCGAGCGTCACTCGAATACGTCGTCCACAACCGCAAGCTAAGACGGTCCTGATTCCGGATAGACAGCCGGGACTAATGCTCCTACGATCCGCCATCAGTCCAGCAAACACAGGCTTCAAATCGGAACAAATAAGAGTTTACTGACCGCTGAGACGCCTGATCCAGCTTTGTCGTCCCGCTGCAGATTTCATGGACGACCGGGCGGTCTGCCGCATGCACTACTCCGTCGATAAGCAGCTTACCTGCAGCTTGCCGCTCGAACCGGTCAACAGGGCCGCGTAATGAATCCAGATCGTGGCGAATCAGAAATGGCTCGCGATCGCGCTACGTGAATTGAACGAGATAGATTCGGCTATCGACGCCGTCTCCGTCGTATATACCCAAGATCCAGAGCGGGAGGCAGTTGGACCCGACAGAATGATATCGACGGGAGCTCCGTTTACCAATACTCCACTCGAAACAAGCGGGTCGCACGAGGGGTGATCATCCGCCGGAGAGAGGAATAAGGAAAAGCCGCTGTCCGGGGTCTATCCCATAGCTAATATGGGGATTGGATTCCGACGGGGGAGAAATCCCCCGATCGTGGAGGTTCCGGTCATGATAGGAAATGAGGTCCCGTGTCCGTACGGAAAGAATTCGAACGTTGACGACGGGTTGGCGTCTGCCGATTCGGATGCGGGAAGAATAATTCCAACTTTTAATTCCAAAATTATTCCAGCGGCCATTTAAAACGGATGCCTTATGGACACATATGTAGCTCGAAGTCGAGGGCGAGGGTCGTCGACGGTGTTCACGATCGCCAACTAAAGTGAGAAAATTCGTTTTTCAGATGTCAGATGACGAGAGATTATCGCTGACAACGGCGATTAGCGACGAGGATGAGTATGAGTCACAGCGCGCAAGTCCATATCGATCGAAGGCCGCGTCCTTTAACTGCACAGGTGCTGTCCGTAAGGCTGGCTTTCTTAGCGTCAAAAAGTGGCTGTTAAGACGAAGACACCAGGTGAGTGTTCCCGTTCCGGCAATCGAGTAGGTACCTCGGTGCGCGAAGTCACCTTGCTCAGGGAAGTAAGCTTAATGATAAGAGGGAAATATGAACATAGGCCCGCGGGAACAGCACGCGCGACTGGGCTCTCGTCCACGAACACGATCAGACTCGCTAATCGTGTTCCTGGGCGTCAGCGGAGCAATCCAATAATACGGATGAGGAAAATTCTTGCTTCAGGTCGAACTCGCCCGAAAGAGAGGTTGGCGTGGGTATTGGGTTTGCCTGAAAGGAACAACGTTGTTGTTCTATCCCTGTGATAACCGCGAAGGCAGGGCAATTGATGCTACGCCTAAGCACCTCATCATTGTGGATGGTGCAATCATGCAACCCATCCCTGAACATCCCAAGAGAGATTTCATATTCTGCCTGTCAACTGCCTTCGGGGACGCGTACTTATTTCAAGTGAGTTCGATGAGCGAAGTTCCTGGCTCTTAATTACAAGCTACCTACATCGAGCCAGGCATAGAGCCAGCAGGGACATTGATGAGATACATCCTGGATTTCAACACGATAATAGCGAGTGTTCTCTCTGCGTCTTCAGGCACCGTGTCAGGTGGAGCTCGAAAATTGGATTCATAGTATCCATAGTGCTTGCGCTGCGGCGTTTGCACGTCATCGAGGTCGGACTGGAACATTGCATCTACTCCAGGAGGAGATCTATCGGCTCGAGAAAGAAATTGAATCGGTGAGTTCCAAGTTTTCCCCACAGCTTAGACGGATCACGGTACATAAGCCGAGCTCGGTCCTATCGGATCCGGTAGCTCGGAGAGGCAGTGGACAGATAATCATCACCACCATTCCCGCAAGCCCTCTCCAATCCTCTCCGACGCGCTTCGATGATTCGAGCATAAATACATGCACTATATATGGAGTTCGAAGATATCGAGTCTATTGTCTGGATGATTGCCTCGTCATCCCCGGTGGATGCGCCTCGGTGCGATCCATCTGAAACGATGGCAGAGCTGTCCCGGCACGACGGCCGGCCATAGGAAGTCTTTTATCGCTGAAAGGTTCTCTCGGCACAGTAAATCCGGTTCTCTCCATTTCCCATGCTCAGTGCCGCCCGTCTCCTCCTGAAATGTTCTCATCGACATCTTCGGGGCCTCCATCTCTTTACTTTTAATAGCGGCCACTCTAAGGAATTAGAGGGTCAGAGCCTCTGCTGGCGCCCGGAGGCCGAGTTGAGTGGCCGACCGGCCGGCCGGTTGGCTCAGACCTTCTCGCCGTCGGCAGATTCTATCAAAATACGCTTCAATTACACTCATAGCGGCTCGGATGTCTGTCCTTCAGATGACTTTAACGCCTTCGCTGCGCAATGACACTCGCTCCTGCCAGCCGCTATAGCTGCTCTTCTGTGTAGAGGGCGGCTGCTTGACCGTACCAGCTGGACGACGCTCGCTGGCACCACGCCAGCCCTCTCCAGAAACGTTCCGGCGACCGACGCAGAGCCGAACCCAACTGCAAGACTAAACTTCGCTCGTTTACCCGATGCCCGCCGGAATAGCGTCTCGTCGACAAACAGACGAAGCAGATGCTCGTGGTAATGTTCGGAGCGCTTTTCGAGAAGCTCAACGTTGCACAGGGTTCGTTTTCGGTCAAACGGTCGTCGGTGTCGGTTGTTGTGCGTCCTCGAATGCCAAACCACCGCTCTCCCTCTAGAAAGCAGGGACGGTTTGTCCTTTCAATCGTCTTCTGTTTGTCTTTGAATTCATTTGCTTATTCGGCGGTCGAACACAGCGACCGCTCGGACGGCTCGCAATTTAGAACCAAGGCCTCCCTCCAAAACCTGATAGTGGAGCAGGAGTGCTATCCCTACGGGGAACCGTCGATTTTAACGAAAAAGCTGCCACCGTCGAGTGTAACGCCAGTCAAAACCGAATATCGGCCCATTTCGATGACAACTCCGCTTTGCCAGACTGCGGGCCCGCCGACTTGCCTGCGCGGACAGTCTGGTCGAACGGCTTTTCGGTAGGTCGGAGATTTGGATCCCAGACCGCCCTCGCTGCCACTCGTTCGAGAACTTATCGAGGAGAGCCGGAGAGGAGCTCAGGATATCGAGGATATTCCGAGGCAGTACACCTCAGAGGAGGCTCTGAGACGCAACTCTCGAGCGTCGCTGAGGAGGGGATGGAGAGATAGCGCCATGAGCGAACGAGATTCGAGAGCTCGAACGACTCAGGATCCGAATCGCGGCGGCGATCGAGGACGTCAGGAACCGGTGAAAGATTTTTCTCTTTTCGAGATTATTCGAGTTTCGGAGTCGAAGATCGACTCACCGAAAGGTCGAACATCAGCAGCAACAGGGTGTGGCTACCATCGCTCATATCGTGGAGCTCGCCGCTGAATCGCCGAGCTCATGAATGAGTTTATGGCGACCCTATCGTCGTCGGCAATCTAGTGTTTTTGCTTTTGATCGCGTTCCTGACCCGAAAGCCTCCCGCGAGCATCTCCGATAATCACACCTGATATTGGCCCCGGATCTCCGGAGCGCGGCATTTTCCCGATCTCTATGGCGTCATTTATCTCCCCGAAACGGCCGACCTTGAAATCCTTGACACTCAATATTGTAGCGGCGCACTCGCCGGACGGTTGGTCTACTCGTGACGCGAGTGCCCTCCGAGCAGAGAACGTAATAAGCAGCCGACGAGGCCCCCTCAAGTAACGTCCATTCGAGGTTAGGAATCTCTGCCGGGAGTGCATTACAATTATCTGCCGCGAATGTTTACTCGCTGGGCTGGCTGGCTGGCCCGCGACGCCACCGACTAAACCAATCAAGCGATCCACACGATACGAGTGAGATACCAACCATGCGAGAGTCTACGCGCCACACTATCTGACTCCGGCTTCAAGCGAGAGTTACCGCTTGCATTAAGTGTCCTGTCCATCTTCTCCTTGGCCGCGCGTGTAGGTGTCTGAGCTATAGAGGGGGTCGCTTATTCCTCTCGAGCGACTACGATCGATGACGCTCCAGCACGAACATGAGATCGTAGAACTTCCTTCATCTTTCGATATCCGATGCGAATCGGAGTCTGAGTCTTGAGACTCTCAAGTTTCGGGCGATGAATACAAAGGTGCATAAATACACGACTCGAATGTCTAATATCAGGCTCGAGTCCGACTACAAATAGATCGAGCGACCGACTGACGAGGAATCGTTCAAGTCTGACGGAAATTCGAACGCGCGCATCTAATTTGCATAGATGTAAAGCGCAAAGCAAAACGTTCGTCGGGGCCAAAGTAATACTGTGTCGAACATTTCCGCTTGCAAATCGACGGCATCCGGACCTCCCGCTTCCATCACAGTTCATTTACTTGTCGGGATCGGGTAGCTCGCTCGCGAGCGAACGAACGAGCGACCGAGAGAGGCCGCACTGAAGTGATCGGCTACAGTGCCAACATCGACTTTGACGAGGAGTCGACTCCGAAAACGCTCCGCGGGCTTCAAATTAGGCCCCAGTAGCGAGACGAGTGAGGCAGGCAGGCAGTCGAGGGTAAATACACTTTGCGACTTTCCGAGCGGTTTTCCGCTTGCCCGGATACTCGACGGATTTTATTACTTTTCCTAATTTGTCCAAACATCCGCGAATCCAGTCGAGTCGAGGGTAGGCTCCGCTAGATCACAGGGCCTCATCCCCGAAGGTCTGGCAACAGAGAGACCTCCTCCACCAGAGGAACGTGTTGAGGCATGACATATGGCGCCGTCCGACACCGGTCGGCTTCCCGTTGACCGCATCCAGTGACCCACAGAGTTCAGAGAGCCTCCCTCTGAAAGCCGGGTTCTATCAAGCCGGTTGGAAGTTGTCCTCATCCTGAAGTCGATCTGTAGCTTCTTGTCGAACTGCTGTCGCCAATTGTGGAAGAGGGAGAAATATTGTCCGCGATCTAATAATCCAAGCACGGATGGTCGAACACCGATCCAGGAGACTGCCCGAAATCGGATCGAAGTGGCTTCCTGTGAAATGGTCAAACGGCTGCCATTGTCAGGCTCTTGACACGGAGAAAAAATGTCAGCGGCAAGGTGGAGATGTCGCATCGAGTTGAGATAGCGAATCTTCTTTCGACCTCGCCGAGACTCGAGAAGCGTCATCCGGCGACTCGGATTGGAATCCCGAGTCCAAGTTCTGCTTCAGTTCATCGACAACAAGACGAGAGAACGCTCGGACGCCGCTGGCACCCGCCAAGCAGCCCGACGGCGGCCAAGTTGAGCCAAAAGGTGTGAGCGGAAATAGTGACGGAAATCCGCCAATCTCCGGTCATCTAGCTCTGAAGCTCGACGCCGCTCGACGACGGAGGGCCATCCCCCTCGAGGGACGGGGGAAGACGAGATGAGCTCGGAAGAAAGCTTTCCTCAGCGCTGTGATCGAGACGAATACTCGGGAGACCCAAATTGATGAAACAAGATCTGCTTGAATCTACATCGACAAGACGAGGACTTGTTTGGTTTCGAGGAAAGATTTCGTCAGGCTCCTTCCTCGTTACGCTCACCCCGAGGGGACGTCGTAACAGCTGGTCATGAGTTATCTCGTTCGGAAACCATTCTGCGGAGAACCGTTAGCCGCTCACCGTATTAATAAAGGCGGCCTAGCGTGCGACGAAATAGAGCGACACTAGAAGAAAATGGGAACGAGACCGTCATTGCTCCACTGACGTAGCTTAGATAAGATTCTGACTGGGAGACTGCTCAGAATTACCTACATCGCGATAAGCCGTAGCTCTGGTTGGTCGGGCGGAACGTCATATATAACGTCCTCTATGTGATGGTATACGATATCACGAAAGGAGCTCCTGATAATCAGGAGGCACCCCCGACGACGACGACGACGACTACGTTTCCACTCTTCCCCGATACAAATGGACCGACCGGGACACGCAATTGAATTTCAAAAGGAATTATCGGCCCCGATATCGAATAGTTGGGAGCTCCGCTTTGAGCGCCATTCATCGCTGTCCCAACTCGAGTTCCAGTTTCCCCGAGGTTTTCACGAGCGCCGCTGGGACGGGAGTTTGAGACCTTGAAAGATCCCAGCGACTTGTTTCAGTCGCCGAAGGGAATCCATCGTGGCAAGCGATTCGATTACCACCTTGCAAGGGCTTCCCGCGAACTTTCATCATCTCAAGTTTTACACGCGAGAGCGAAAAGCCCCGGATTGCGAAAAGTTCCGCAATGGCCTGGCCCGACTCCGCCGATGCTTCAACCCACAGCGGTTTTCCGGGGGCTTTCAATTTATCATCAAGTTCGGTTGCGTTCACTATGCTTCTCGTTTGCCGATCGGTTTATCCGCTAGTCTGAATGTTCCCCTCTTCTCTTGGCAAGTTTATTGTGATTTTCTCCGCTAGCGATCGCGCGACCTTGAAACGAGTTGAACGAGCCGGGAGCTCACCGAGGACGGCAGTCGACAACAAAGTACGAGTAGGGAACGAGACGAGCGCTTTCGTGGTAGATTTTAATCAAAGAGCTCCTAGAACCGCAATGCAACGTCAAGGACGAATAGCTCCGACTGTTTTGGCTCAAGCGCAAGAACACAATGTCTCGCAAGGGTTCGATATTTACAGACCCGCTCGTCGTCACTGGTTCTCACATCGTGCTTGGCACGAACTCCGATTCTGGAGCTGACTCTCACCATGTTAGCCTCGATTACCATAATGATGATTAGGATGGCGAGAACTCGGTTGGCTTCGTCGATTCAGAGGACGAGTAAATTAGGCAGCCAGCCGTCCGCTTGGTCAGACCTTGCCGGTCGACTGATGCCTTTTTCGCAAACCTCGTGAAGACTCGCTAGTGCCAGCGGGGATATCGGCGGGGGAAGTTCCTCTTCTTCCCGCTCGGAAGATTGAGGCCACGGTTCGTAGATTGCTCGACGGGAGCCGAATGAACAGCCGAAACAGACCAGAGGGCATTCTCACCGGATGGCTCCTGACAGGAAGCTCAATACGGACCGTTTTGGGAGAAAAGAAGAATTTCCTCGGAAACACGCTCACGTCAGCCAACCGCTATCCGAAGAGAGTCTTCGAACGGACGCAGAAATCGAAGCAATGCCAGGAGCATGAAGTAATTGGGAGCGACGGAGGAGTTGAAGCGATTTGGGGCTGCCGTCCACGGCGGATGAAGCAGGAGAAATGAAGAATTATTTCGGAGCAACGCCTGACTTCATAAAGTCTCTCAAAGCGCTCCTCCGCTCCGTCTTCGTCGCGCGGAGAGGATCATAGAAACATGGCCAGCAGCTGCTGGACCTCGCTCCTGGGCAAAATTCAACAACGTCGCCAATCCCTCGATCGGGTGTGTGGGATGTAGTCCCCTGCGCTTGCTCGCTCGCCCGTTCGTCCCTTCTCCCCTCCTCCAGTTAGTGAGCTGTACGAGAGAGTAGGCTGGTTGGCGGCTCGTTCGGTAGGTCGAGAAATCTACTAGTTTGACGAAGCGAATCCTTGACTTTTTTTGTGAGCTCGCTTGCTCGGCCGACCATGCGTTCGCTCTTCTCGAGTTTCCCAAGCGGAGCGTTCACATTCTACTTTTAATAGTGCTCTCGCGCTGGTCTCTTCCACCACCAGTCTGCCGACTCGAGCGTCGGTCGGCCTGCCTGCCTGCCCCAACTTGCCCGGAAGAGCTCGAGCCCAGAGAATAGTTGGGCGGGTCTCCAGTGTAGCAGGTACCCGTACTGATTGCTCCATCGTCGACAACAAGTCACATACAACGCTCAATAGGGAAAGATCGACTTCGAATTTCACGGCGACACGATTCCAACATCCGCGACGACGGCAAGGAGCAGCCGAACACGAGAAATCCTCAGGGTGTCCGCGACCAGCGCGAACTCATCGCGTTTGAAGTGTTTTTCCTAGCATTCCTCGAGTACCTAACTCGATTCTCCTCGCATCGTTCCAAGATGCCCGAGCACAATGTGAGCTGCTTCGCAATTTTTTCCCGCTCAGACCACCCGCCAGAGCTCCCCCCCGATGGACTGCCAACGCAAACATCGTACGACCGATTCGACAGTTTTTTTGTCGCAACCAACGTGGCCGAGTAGCCTGGAGGAACGGACAACGTAGCTTTCACTTCTTGTTCGCGTTTCCTCCGAGACTGCCGCCACTTATCCAATGTGGTTTGGAGAGTACTCCTCTATATTGCATATGAGCGCCGCAGCAACAAGCGTACTGGGAAGCCGCGAGCGAACTCCCTCCCAGCTTTCCTTCCCATCGTACACGAGCGCGAGAACTCGCTCCGGTCGGGAAAAACCGGAGGAACGCTTTCATTACGTGTGTGTTCACCAGCACTCCGGAAGAGTCGAGTGAGGAGATCCCAGCCAGATTATAGGGAAAGAGGAACGGACGGGAGCAGTGGCTGGGAAGATGAGGGTACTTGGAGAGACACAAGATATATCCTCGTTTTTGCGCTCAATAATAACACGCTAACATAAAGGAGAGGACAGGAGCGCAATAACCCGCGGGACGGCCTTTCGCATGTGCATTAGCTTCACGTGACTGTTGCTATTAGTCATAAGAGGACCGTACGTAGGCTTTCGACCGTGGTATCCACCTCCTTTCGAAGTAGTATCTGCCCTATTCTCTCGGGAAGATCTCCTCAACTTTCGTGGGCTCCATCCGAACTGAGATCATACATCCCCTAACGGAAACCGTTCATTCCAGGATGCCAAGCTCAAACACATGGCCGAGCTTCAACTGACTGTCGTAGCCGATTCCGATAGTCGGCACACCCTGACAGAGCAGATCGGGCAATGGGAGGCCAATTTGGAACGGTTGCATTGCGAGCAATTCCGTTTGCGGTGCTATATGGCCTCCCTCCAAGTACAAGAACTACCCAATCCCAAGAACCTGTTAACGCACGTCTCAAAGGCGACCAAATCGACCCTTAACCAGCTGGGTGTGTTCACGGTGTCTTCATTTCACGCGTACATTTGCGCGCGAAGCCCTTCGATACTTTCGAACCTTCTGGCGGGAAGGAGCGCCTCTAAAAGACGTATGGCTGCTGCCGCTGCCGCAAATTCAAGATCTCAGCAACAAAACACCTTGTCAAGGTCAGCCAGCTCACGTTACCTCAATACGCAATCATCGACGCATTCTAGTGATATCCCATCACTAGGAGATCGAACTGGTGAGTCGCAGAGCATCGGTGCTCGGCGAAACATCTTGAATTTTCTATCAGATTGAATTTCCGATGATCCTTTCACAGGAACCCGATCCCTAATCGGTCTGATTATCGACCTTTGACTTTGCAGTCGAAGTTGCCATGCCCGAAACTCAGAGTGTTTTGTTGGGGATTCGCGACGGAATGACCGTCGACGAGTTGTTAGGAGCCGCCTGCTGTAAAGGACAACTTCCACCGAACGATTACTTCCTGCGCTTCCAAGCCTCGCTTGATAGCCCAGAGTATTACGTCGCTCCTCGAACCGAGCTCCTCGACAACCTCGTGAGTAGCAGTCTTTAATTATCATATAGCGTCCGATTTCGGAGCGGGACGGGTTTGTTGATAAGAGTTGTTTGTTTCCGGAGCCCTAAAGTGAGCTGGGACGATGTTTGAACTTCCGCGACATTGCTGTTTGTATTGTAAATATATATTGTGAATACAAACATCTGACCAACGAGCGAGAAGCGCCGAGTGAGCTCCCTTCCTCCACGTCTCGGGGTTTATCTCGATGCTTTTCTCCCTCCGTTTCGAACTATCAATCACGATGGGAGCCGATGCGACGCTGTGAGCTCCCGGAATAGCTCATCGGAACCCCCCCCCCCCCGACTCGTTGGAATCAGGATTTGCTCCCATCTGAAAGCTAAACCATAATCGCGCACTGATAGTGTTCAAGGGTTTCGGCATGTAACACACTAATGATCGCCGTCGACCTTGACCGAGCAGTCCATCCGTCTGACCAGTAGATGGGCCGTGGCTGATCGGTCCAATCTCGTGGGGGTCCTGCTTGTTTCGAAGCACCGCCTGATTAGGAAGACAACTGACCCCCTTGTGGAAAAACGAGTCGCAGACTCATTCCTCCACCATGGCCTGGCTGGCTACCGCTTAGGCTCTAAATGACATTGATCGTCGCTGGCGGCGACGGTGGTGGCGCCGTTCAGCTTGCAGGATTCGACAATGAGCTCAATCGTTGGTGTTTTCCTTGCAGCTGTTTGAAGGCCTGGAAGTGTGTCCTAAGGTTCTCTATCAAGTGGAACTGTCGCGGGCATCCCTCGATCAATTGTTCGGATTCTCGGTAGAAGCCGAACTCTCTGAAAACAGCGACCATCAAGACGAACTCTGTGTCTACGTTTCGCGTGTCGAAGAGGGAAGTCTCGCCCACAATCAGGGCCTGATCAAAGGCGATGAGATCATGGTGATCAATGGAGCAATCGTCGCCGACCTCGACATGATGTACATTGAGTCGGTACTTCAAGAAGAACTGTCCCTATGCATGATGGTGCGCTCGTCACGGATGGAGGCTCCGGACATACCCACTGGATCATGCAGCGTCCGATCTGCCGAAGACTACATCGAATCGTTGGTACGTACCCCCCCGTGTTGTGTTGACGTGTTCCCATCTCCTCCTTCTCCCAACTCAATGCCATGAACGCCGAACCGACCGAAAGCCCGCCCGCTCGCTCGCACTCCACCCGGCACGACGACGACCACCACGACCACCACCACAACCACCTCCACGACCATCAAGCGGAGCATGGTGCATCCCGCGAACCGACAGATTCGTACCAACGAGCGTCCACCACCAGATCATCTGTGATTTGAGCGTTTCACGCTCGGAATCCGCGCTATACGTCGGGCAGGCAGGCGCGGTGGCGATGGCATCGATTGCTCGACCGTACGTTCTACGTCCCACCACACACGGGTGGGAGCGTCGTTAGTCCGTCAATGTGATGATTTCACATGATCGTCCATGCCGTCAGCGCACGGTGCGATCGATCGACCGACCGACCGACTCGGCGATTTACCACGATTCGATATGACCGATGATTAGTGAAAGGGTCGTCGTCGTGGCGGCGCGGGCGGGCGCGCGCGCGCGCGATCGATCGTCGACGGCGACTTCGAGGGCAGCGGAACGCATTGACCGACCGACGGACGTGCCGAAGAACGTACAGACGGCGGCAACAGCACTGGATCGTTTCGAGCCGATTTGAGTTACGTCGTTGAGTGTCTTCTTCTCCCCTTCAGTCAGATGTCAGCGGCCGGTAAAGAAGATCCGTTGCAGGTGTGTCCACCTCCTCCCTGTGACGACGTGCTGTCTGAGGAAATGATCGGCAAACTGATCGTTCCTTCACCGATTTGGGGATCTCAAGAGACGCGGTCGCCCGACACTTCTGGTCGACCTACGCCGTCTCCGGTACAACAAGTGTGCGAGCAGCCTGGAGCCACAGGGCTCTCGAGCGAACAAATGGAATCGCTGCTCAAAGTCATTGAGGACTCATGCAAAAAAACTGCCGAACAAGTGACGGAATATTGTCGTGGCGGTACAGATCGGCGCCGATCGAGTCTGGGTGGTTCCCAGATCGATCTGGCATCTCTACAAGACGGATCGGCTCCGCAGTATCCTTCGTCAGCCTCGTATGCCGGGCCAACGCCGCAAACGGTAATCACGAAGCAGACGTCAGACGCGGAGAAGCTCCGCAAAGTCATCCTCGAGTTGGTCGATACTGAGAGAACTTATGTAAAGGTGAGCTGTAGTCTGCAATCTATTTTTCGGCAATCCCTCGAGTCCGAAACAGCGGAAGAGAGTGCGATGCTATCCTTGCGAACCGATCGTCGAATCTTCGATTCTAGCCGTCGCACATTTTTCCAGCAAATGGGAGAGCTCGTTGAGTGGTATGTCGCCGTGAGTCACAAAACTTTGCCCCCGAACAGCGAAGTCAGCAAGGTGAGTCGGACTTCTTATAGAACTCGCTCTGTTTCCAAATTTCTACATTTCCCCGAAAACTGAGCACGAGGTGCCCAGAGGATGGGTGTTTTCACTTCGAGTCGAGTTTCCAATGTGTTCGGTCGACTTCCCATCCACCCCGTCAATGATTCTCGCGGCGAATTGGGTCCCGACGATCATCAACATTCGGATTATAGCCATCCCGTCATTAATTAGGCTTCTCGATCGAACGAGATTAGAACGAATTACGCGGCTGTCCTCGTTCAGTCCTGTATATGAACCACACAGCTCTCTAAATAAAGACTGAATGAAGAGGTCGTCGACTGAGTCTGCCGTGGCTACCCGACAGAGATATCGGCTCTGAGGAGGGGAAGCGAAAACCCCACGGGACAGGTATCACGTGAGGGCTCTCGTTCACAGAAAAATCTTCGATCTTTTCAGCATTTAAACAGTCTGCTGGACAATCTAGACTCGGCGAAACGAGACCAGTTCTTCACCAATGGTGAAATCAGTACATTATTCGGAAACATCCAGGACATCGTTCAATTCCAACAGCAGTTCCTTCAGAGTCTTGACGAAGCGCTACAATCTGACCCAAGCTTCCTTCAGCTCGAACATCCAAACTACTTCAAGGTGAGCTCGCATGGTTCCTCGGACTTCGCGTCGGTGAAACTCCGCCGAGAAAGAAAACTCCAGGCGTCCGATCCGTTCCCATTGTCGGTTTCTCTCGATCGGCTCTGTGCCCCTTCAGTCCTCATCAACATTCATGCATAACACATGACCGAGCGATGATGAGCCCTATTGGGAGCGCAAGCCCCCCCCCCCGCCCCTCCTCGGAATTACCTTCAAATTTCTCTCTCCTATCGTTTTCAATCAGGAGCCACTCATGGAACAAATCGGCCTCCTCGTGGTTGGCCCATGTCTAGGAAGTAAGGCAAATTTTTCTTGCAGAATATTCTGTTTGCTTTGGGGAACTCATTCATGTATTATACCGACCACTTCAAGCTGTATAGCTCCTTCTGTGCAAGTCATTCAAAAGCGCAGAAGGTTCTACATCCGAGTGAGTACTTATTCCCGGAATGCGATTTGAACCCCTCGACCGAATGATCCAGAACGTATTTCCAGAACGCAGAACGCAGGGGATGGACCAAAGCGTTAACCGTGATCGACTGCAATCTCGCCTTTACTGACGCACGGCATGATCTCCATTTCAGCGGAGGGCGGTGTCTTGTCTCTATCAGAAATGTGCCAGTCATCGTCAGCTCCGTCGGTGCAGAATCGGAAGGGGACGCATAGCTTTTCTCTCGAATCCTACCTCATAAAGCCGATCCAGAGAATACTCAAGTACCCGTTACTTCTCCAGCAGTTGAAACAGCTCACAGATCCTGTCACTGAAGAACATCAGCATTTGGCGGAAGCTCTAAAAGGTGGGCGACGAGCGATTGATTTTGAGATTCGATCCCAAACACTACATGATTTCAAGCTCCGCGAAATGCATGACCAATGACCATGAACCATTACTAATTCGCCTCTCATTGCGACAGGAATGGAAAGAGTTGCGGAGCACATCAATGAAATGCAGCGAATCCACGAAGAATATGGAGCGATATTCGAACATCTGTACAGGCAGCACACTAGAACCACGAAACAAGCAGTGGACCTGAGTCCCGGAGAGTTGTTATATTACGGAGGAGTCGAATGGCTGAATATCGCAGAATATCTCGGGAAGATCAAAAAAGGTCTCGAACTTCACGCCATGTGTTTTGTGTTCCGCACGGCGGTCGTTTTTCTCTGCAAGGAACGGGTTCGACATAAGAAAAAACTCATGGTGAGGCTTATGAGAAATTCGCTCGCATGACATGCTTGTATGGTGCATTCATATCAGGTCTACTTCCGTCCCGCAACCGAGCGTCCGAGCTCCTACGGTCGGGGTCGGCGACGCCACAGTCGTTAATTACACGGACTTGGCTTCCGGAATGACTATTTTCTCGGGGCGATTGCCATCACTAAGTCGTACGTCTCTGAGATTCGAAGCGTTTCCTCCCGCGAGAAAGGACTTTGAAAAACGAATAATTTTCGATTCCAGGGCGGGGCGAATAAAACTCCCTCATCCGATGTTGAAATTATTCGATATCAAGTGTTGATCCCGGTGACCGAAGTACAAGTTAGGGCTAGCAGCCAAAAGGATGCCGATTCGAGATTTTTATGGGAGCTAATCCATCTCAAGTCTCAAATTCAGAAGCGTTCCGAAAAGCTCTATCAACTTTCCAATAGGTGAGTGAATTCCGAACCGATTCACCGCATATCCGAAAGATGGATCGAAGAAAATCGGTCCAGTACCAGAACAATGATTATCCACATGAACTGTACGGATAGCTCACGGATGTCCATCCCTCTCTCAGTACAAGCGAGTTCCGGAACGCTTTCCTTCGAACCATACGTCAGATAATCCGTGAGAGCGTGAGAAACATGACAGTGCCGGCCTCGGGCAAAGACAACCCTGCCCTGACGAAGGTCAGCGGGGCCCAGACCATGACGCGAACTTTGAGCGGGAAGCGCCGAAATCGACACAACTCCGGAGATCTTCTTGACAGTGAGTCTCCGCTGCATGCGGCGACCGGATCTTCAAGCGACTTCCGTACTCGCAGTCGAACCGTAAGTGCAGGTGCCTCGCAAGAGACGACACCTATCGGATCACTCAGCCTGGTCACCGTCGACTGGATATTTCATCTTTTGCATCCCTTGCCTCTCGCACATCTCCTGCCTAACACGCTCATGAGTAGAGTTCACCACATTAACCGCATGACGTTGCATAGGTGACTGATTCAATGGATGCTGTTGCGGCCACAGACCTTCGAGCAGTCGCCAATGCAGCTGTCGTAGCTCGGAATCAACGAGGCGCACAGCTGCAGCAGATGGCGTCCACCATTCACGACAATTCAGACTCTGACCTGGAAGATCGGCCGGAATTCCTTTTCAACGCGGCCAGAGCACATTCCTCCTTATCGGTAATGCAAGCAATACGGCACTAGTGACATCTAGAATGAGCGAACGAAATTCCTCCCCTGCCTGTACCCACATTTTATTCAGAGGCGACGCGTGTCGACTTTTGCAGTCAAACCATTACCTGACGTTTCGGTATCCGTTGTACTGTCCCTCCTAATACTTCTCCTGCTCGAACAGGTGTCGAGCGGTCAGTCTGTTTCGCAACAAGCGAGACTGATTCAATCATCAGTCAATAATCAACAGCAACAACAACAGCAATACGATGACCAACCTTCAGAAGAAGCAAGTTCACCAATTTGGAAACCTCGACCAGGTTCTGCACCTCTCACCGGTGAGTAAACTCGGAAATATCTCTGGAAATCTGCATTGAAAACCCGAATCCCTGATCGTTTCATGGAGCTTGCATGTCTGACGCGGTGGTCTGCCCAAGCAGCCGCATAAGTCTCTTGTCCGGAGTGAAGCCTAGTGCCGTCGATGGAATCTCCGCGAAGAAATTTTCGCCATTGTATTTCGCCAAGGAGTCAGAATCTCTCGCGGAACTGGCCGTAGACGGGTAGACCTGCATGCGAGCATGCGCGTATCGGATGATTGTTCTTGGTTTTTGAGCGGCAAGCCACAATTTGATTTTTGAACCCCGTCCTATCCCCAGGTGCTGAGATGGGAAATAAAGAAGTACTACTATAATCTAAACAGGAGAGCTACAGCCTGGAGACGATGCATTGAGCGGGGAGAAGACGAGTCGAAACGGACTGGAAGCATCGGTGGCGGCGGGAGCTGCTTCCGGATCTTCAAAGCAGCCGTTGAGTGAGCAAGAACAGCTCGAGCAGGATCAATTTTATGTCTTCCATGAATATCATTCGCCCGAACACTACCAGTATCCGGAAGACACCTGCTAAGAACGGCAGACGACGCGACAAACGAGGAAAATCCTCAATGAGGACAACACAACCAACGAGCAGCGACAACTGATCTCAACACGAGCATGACTGAAGGCAGCACAGGTGCCGGACCCGGTAGAACGATTGCGACTACGGACGCCCACCAACGGTCCGCGGGAAACATTGGTTTCCAAACGGATAACGTTCCCGGAAGAACGGGTGCCAACGTCGGCGAAGCTCCGCATGCCGAGCATGCAGGTAGAACACCAGGAAAGAAGGAGCGATGACCCGACGAGCGAAGCCGAAGCAGCAAGCGAACACCCGATCCAGACGCGAAACCGACTGAGCTATTCGTGCAATGATAAGGGGAACACGAAAGCCAACGATGGCAATGCAGCTGTAGTAGTACCCGACGAATGACTTGTGAGCGAGCGAGGACGAGCTTGGAGCGGGGAATATTCGCCGGCTTCGGGCGATCATGGAGAAATCAAAATGGATTGAATGGTGAAGAGACGAGGACAAGTTCCAGGCAACTCCACTGAGCTGGAGCTTCACACACGCGGAAAATGCAACATCAACCATTGTAAAAGAAGCAAACCCATACAGTAGACACTCGATGTGGAAAGAAGATTGACGCAGCGAACGGTCTCCAGAAATATGAGAAGAAGAATAACAACACGAATAACATGATGACGAGGATGAAGTGAAGAAGATGATGCTAAAATCGAGAAACGAATGCAGATGAAAAAATGAAAAAGCGCAAAATCCACAGAAGGACAGCAGACAGGAAAGGCGATCTCTTAAATCAAACTCAAATACAAATGTAAATAAGTCTCCTCTGGGTTTTGGTTATCAGCAAGTGCTCATCTAAAAAGCGGTAAGAATCTTCCGACTACCATCTACTCAGATAATCCTTCGAGAATCCTACATGCGACCTCTTTCGGTTCATCCCCCACCCCGTCGAATATTTTTCATTGTCAATTCGTTCGATAAGACTTCGGTTTTCCTTCCAGGTAAGGTACCTGAATCCATACTATAACAGAAACGAAGCATGGTTGGGTGATTGGAGGATGGATGAAGATAAAGGGATGGAGATAAGAGGAGGAAAGTAATGAAGGACAGAGAAGGAGTTAACAAATAATGAATCTGCTCAAGTAAGCTTCAGATATTTGACGGGAGGCACACACACACCACATTGATCGATTAATCGAGGTAGAGTGCTCGATTGACTGATGAGTGAGGACAGCAGCAGTCTGTTTGTCTGTATCGACGACACACTCGTTTTCTTCCTGACGGATTCTTGAACTTCATTATTCCTGCGGACGATGATGATGATGACGATGATCAATGATCTCACTATGTATTAGAAAGGATTGGGGGAATTTTCCCGCGGTAAGCCTTTCGCAACTAGCCAAATCCGGTAGATTCCTGTAAAAGTCGAGAAACCAATCGAACTCTTGATTGAAAATTCCAACCATCTCAGCTCACAACTATTATGATAATGATGACAATGATGATGAGAGTGTGAAAGGCCGAGTACACATTCGCCAGGCATCGCTGATCGGAAATTCCGGCTCTGACTGCCGCCGAGGGATTAAAAAAGCAACGGAGATGCATTTTGATATCCCCAGAGAAATCTTCTGCGATCTATGCGGGAACGTTCATCAGCGAGAGCATAAGTATCGTAATTATTACAACTTCTCACTCTTATCCTTATCATTATCAGAACCGATTGCAAATGTCATCATCATTATTATTATTATTATTATTACTCATCATACCACTACCACTTATACTGATACTACTGATGCTAATATTACTAGTGCTATGATTACGGTTCACTATTATTAATATTATTGTCATCATCATGGTTGAATCATCATCGGATCTATTGATTATGATTTTTATTATCCTAATTGACATGGTACTCGCGATCGATCGCATTATCATTATTATTACTACTGATCACTGATGCTACTCCTATTATCACTACTAATACGAAAGGAACTATGTCATCAACAAGAACTTATCCAGCCTGCCGCCGTCTCTGCTGCTTCTATCTATCTTAACTTCGTCTTATTACATCAATCACGGTTGGTTGGTTGATTGATTGATTGATCCCAGGTCGATCGGTTCGTACGTTGAAGGTACCGAACAAAAACACAGAAACACTCTCAACTCGCTCGACTGACCGATCACCAGCCGATAATCACAATTCATAACGGAAGATGAAAACGTACAGAATGGTCATCGCGACCGACCCATCACAAAACACCTACAACAACACGGGAGAACTTCCTTGCTGTCATGTCTACATTCTAAGTATCTGACTGAGTGAGTCAAATGAATGAATCTCCAGCTTCAAGGATCTTTGCGCATTCCCGACCTATGATTCTATATGAAACATTCCTTCTTTTAATTCCGAGCGGACGATCATCTGGGACGAGCCTCGAAAGAACTTCCTCGACCGTAGGATCCAGTGACCGATCGGCGGCGACGTTTGAAGGGTTCGAGGCTTAGGCAATTCATACCGGGGGGACGGCCGTGACACATTGCGGAGTCCTGGTTCTGGTGCCGCTGCCTTGCGGCACCGCATAGTTTCTTAATTAGATAATAATCAATTCGACGTCAGCAGTAACAATGTCGGCAAGGGTATATCCGGAGCATTCGCTTTGAACCGCGGCAGACTTCCTCCATTCATCTGTTCGACCCCCGTCGACCGCGTCTTACTCCCCGAGCAGCGAGTCTAAACACTGAACTTATAATTTCGCACTCAGATCGCTCATGGAAACAGTCACTGAGGATGCGTTCTTATCGTTTGCCGCTGTTAATATCTGCCGCTCCATTGGTTCATGATTTCTCCTGTTCCTACGATCCGTCAGCTCGAATACTCCGATTCAACATTGCCAAACACAAGCAACAATTACGATGATGACAGGGACATCAGCACTGAGATCAACTTTTGACTGAACGCCCATGCTTCAGATCAGTCGACTCTACAAGTTTAGAAATATTCATTTTCCGAAAGACACCAGCGACGACATTACAACCTTAATAATTATGGGACTCCGACGTCAAGAACAAAAAACCTCCGTGATTCAAACTTTCCAATGATTCGCGACCTGATGAAAACGGTACTCAAAACCTCACTGACTGATGCATCGCATAAGTGCGTCTATCGCACAGAAAGGCAGCGATCTACAGCACTTTGATACAAATCTGAATGAGGTCAGAACAAATGTCGAGAGAAGAAAAACGAGAGAAATGTCGATATTGACCGTCTGATTTTTATAGTTCTCTGATAGACGTTATTGATTCACCTTGAACATTTCAAGTGAAGGGGAATGACATTTCGTTCAAGATCCCGATGTCGACGACTGAACCACTTGTCACTTCGAGTTCCCGCGTGATTCAATCACCGCAACATGGAGGGATTCGGGAGCGTTGAAACTATGTGGATTGAGTGCCAACGGAGGGGGAAGAAGCGAGCATTCCGAGTCGCGAATTTCTCCTGATCTCACCCGCAATTGATACAAGTGCTCTCACCGCCGAAATCCAATTTTAGGAGTCCTTGAAGACAGTTCCGTATGATTTCTCACTGACATCACGAAGGTCACGATGACGTGATGACGCGTCTCTCACCTTCCGGATCGTCGATAATCCGGTCGTCCTCAACTCTGTCCGCTCAATTCAAATTCGTGGGACAACAGCACAGAATTGAGGCATCAATTGGCACAAGAGACAAGGGGGGAGAAGTGTAGCGAGCTCCATGGCGATGACGCGGCTGGCCGGACTCAGTTCAAAAATAAAGACTTTTCAAGAGGATCTTTCGGCACGGGCAATCAAGGGTCCCTCTTTCACCGCTCCGGAACTTTGAAGATTCGTTGATCGGTAGGATCCAGAGCTAGATGGCGGAACTCCGGAGTTACCCCGAATATTCGCAGTCTGGCGCTTCATGTCTTTCGATTAATCCTCCCCCCCGTCCGATAGTTCCATATTTCCTCTCCAGGCATTCGATCGTAAGCATCTGAATGTGACCGTCTTTGGGAGCATCCCCTCCCCTACGATATCGCATTTGAACCAAATGGAGATTTCCAAGTCTCCTCATGGACTTCATATCAGATCTCATCTGGGTCGAATTGAGAACTGGCCTACCTACGGGAAAAATCCATGAAGGGAGCGAACCGCTTTGCTACCTGAGCCCGCCGATAAGACACTCTCCGAGTGGCTTAAGCTTCGCTGTGGAAAGCTACCCGAATCCCGCAATCTCCATTTGAAGAACGAGATAATTACAACCTGTTGTCGAAATCCGACTGCCCCGCGCGAGTCGAAACGGGAACCGAAAGAAGTGCCAATGCTGCATTTCCGGCATGTTCGATACGAAGTCGAGAAGGAATCCATCGTGAGGTCTGAGGAGATCCCATGTGCGATCAGAAGCAGTGGACATTTCCGTAGATTGGAGCGAGGCAAGCCGATAAGAGCAGTCTCAATCGAGACGTTCCGTTCCAGAGAAATCTCACAGCTTCGGCTCCGATACAGTTTTGAATTTCCAGGAACCATTTACTGTTCCTATTATATCGTTCTGAGAACTATATTTTCCTTCTTCTTCTTCGTCGTTGTCGTCTTCTTCTTCTTGTCCCACTTTTTACGAATGGATTGCATTCATCGATGACTAGACTGGTCGTCACGATCAAAGGGAAAGGACTGCGTATCTACAGTATATCATCATCTATGTCCTAGGCGCATTGATACTCGAGAACAATACTGACCGATTCGAATGATCCGTCGATATGCGTGTTGAGAGTTTTGTTTTTGATCAATCTCGCAACGCATCAAGAAATGTTTACTCGATGCGTCCCCGCACGGGGAAACAGAACACATTATGAGACAGTTCACGTGCGTGGGGAGGTATCCAGCAGCGGCTGCAATTTTTAGCATCGGCCTGCCCCGCGGCCAGATGCTGTGTGGAAGGAGCGGTGAAATGAAGTATTGTACAGAACCGCGAGCATCAGACTGAGGTGCTCGATCGGTATTTTATTCCAGTTTTTGAACGCTTGCCTATCTATCTATTTATGTGTGCCAGCCTGTTCGCTTATCTATCGCCCGCGTCGACGAGACAAAAGGAGAAGAGAATGACGATCTCTGTTGAGTTCAGTTAACTCCAAGGTTATCCATGACCTCGCAATCCATGCAGGAGGAATTGGAGGCAAACATCTCGAGAGGCGAGGGAGAGAACCCTAATCCTGCACCACATGAAAACCTCTCGTGACCTGAGGGAACTTCGTGGAGGATGCTTCACTGGAATCTATCGGGTAAATCAACGGAATCATACATATGCGTATGAACCGCTCGGTTCATACACGAACAGTCGACACCTTCTGTGAACTATGTATTTGAGCCACGCGTGAATTTCCAGAAACACATGTGGATATGTGTGTGGTTTACGATGATGATGATGATGACGAACACTGTTTGTTTCCTCGTAATTGTTACTGGGGCTTTCCGGCAAATGAGTGCGGTGATGGAAGAACGACCTAGGATCACGGACAAACTTTGGATCTTCGTTGTTACAAGCAATTCTCTATTCCAAGCATTTTAGTCGGTATTCCGTGATGATACTAACAATAATAAAAATAACATCATCAAGAACAACAAAGGATGACAAGAGACAAGTCACAACGGCTCCGATAACAACTCTGAGCACAAAATACGTTGTTCACCTACCCGACAGCAAGAACATTAACAGCAAGTACTTCTGTAAGCTTGTCACTTACAAAGCAGACATCACTGAAAACCACAGCTGGTTTTGGCGGAATGATTATCAATTTTTCGACTTTGACACACAGTACAAGCGGTTTGATTACGACTCCGATGAAAAACCTTTAGACATCAGCAACAATAACTATAACTGTCACGTATGCCCGCTCAGACTACTTGTCACTTGAACAATACGTACCTTCGGCACCGACTCTCCGTCTAAATTCAATTGAGTCTACAAAAGCGCGATGATGTTATAGTCCTGTTTTCGGGTGGAGAGGAAAACCCGTGATGCTCCTGACGTAACAACTGAGGGTCTGATTGAAAAAAATCCATCGATGAGGAGGATTCTTGTTGACTGTGCGGTGCCGCAGGTTGTGACGACATGGAATTTGGTGCTGCTTCAATAAACCGTGACACAGACAGAGTAAACAACAGGGGAATGAGCGGGCCCGACAGATTAAAAGCCAAATAGGAATTCGTTCGCGAAATTCAACAGCATAATTGACTTTATGACGGAATCTTTCGAGATGAGTTTCTTATCAACACTATCACTTTACACGATGATGATGACGATGATGCTGCCAGTGAAAGAATCGGATTCAATCCAGGCGTTTCGGTGAGGCAAGAAACGAACAACGCTGCAGAAGGAGGAAAGAGCCGAAATGCGAGGCGGTGACGATGACTATTACTATGACGATGAAGACAGTGGTGGTGATGGTTTGTAAAAAAAAGTGAAAAGAGAAACTTAAAAATCCTTAAGGCGAATTTACTCGACAGAGAAACGCAAGGTATGCGCGCGGAGAACACAGGTTTCCAACAAATCGAAGAAGATAATGGTTGGGTACAGTGAAGACCTTGGAAGGGAAGATGAGAATGGGCGCGTCGCCTAAAACTCGACACTCACGACTAAGTCTGAATGAATTCTGTGGTCCTGTCAACGTTCGTATGAGTCCTCGAAATAAGAGCGCTCGAACGGAATTTCTCAATGGCGACGGTGACCAGCTTGTTATGTAATGACTGATTATGATGACTATGATTAAAAATCGTGGAGACGATAATTAACTATTATAGCTGATTATCCGAATATCTACAAAGTAATAAGATAAATAAAGGCTATATATATGACGGGTTTCCGTGTACTTCTTTCCATAGAGAACTGCATTCTCGGAGTTGTTAGGCCTCCCGCGAAATAATTGAAAAGTCCGCAGATGTCTACAAGACGTAACGCATTTATACGAAACATACTTTAAGTTACAAACGGTTCGAGCATCCCATATCAGAAGTGCTGCCCGCATCCCGCTCGGGATATTCCTTCCGGATATGTGGCCGGGCAGCCTCACGGCACCAATACTGTTGAGATCGTTGACTACTTCTTCTTCTTTTTCTTCTTGCCGTCTTTCTCGTCCGTCTCATCGTCGGGATCCGGGTCGCCGGGTCTTCGATGGTGAGCCAATCGCAATTCTTCGTCGAAGACGAGTCTGAGGACGAGGACAGGTTTGCCACTCGTTCGAAGATCTCGAACATCACCATGATAATCAGCGAATCGAAAAGCGTTAGTGGTTTAGGTAGCGGCGCCGGCGGGAACGGACCTCATCATAAAGCAATGGAAGTGGGCAGTAGAGTCTTCATGTGATAGAAGTCCATGAGGACCGCTTCTTGCGCTCTCTACACAATGCGTGTGCTCATGCAGGTGCGGGGGGACAGATATGTATGGTTGCTCCATATCGAATGATGATCGTCAGTGCTAGAAAGAACTTCAGCGGACTACAGCTGTGGGAGCAAGCCAGGCAATCATTCCTTACTCACTTCAGGCCTAGCCCGCTGTGATCGGAGAGGTAGAGCTTACTAAAATCTCGGCGGTGCTCTGTTTTCTACGGCGATCACGATCACTGTAATGCGGCTGGCTTCAGTATTCATTCACTCGAAAGGTGTATTGATCTCAATTGGCCAACTCTATAAATCAGCAGGATGAACATGCACAAGGGAGCCGAGGAGAAACTGCTTCCGATTACGAACCTGGTGAGTTTACAGTCGATGAGGAATGTCGCGATGAGCGGCAAGCGCCACTTGCCCTTTTGCTTAGGTTTCGGCATTCCGAATATCACCAATTTGAAGTAGCCGACCCGAACTGGCGTCAGCACGAAGGTGATGCGTTTATCTTTGTCTTCCCGGGAGAGCATACCTTTCGACAAAGAGATATCTACCTCATCCTCAACACTCCTGCACTTCTACGGAATCTACGGGGTCTAGACGCCCGACCGAGCTTGATCTGCGTATTCTTGGCTCTGTTCGCATATACGATTCTTATGCCCAGTCCATTGCGGCTCGCCAAACTCCATCGAGACCAACGATCGAATGGGTGGCAACGAACCTGTTGTGTCGATCTCTTGACCATCGGCGTCGAGAACTTGGTGCGTGATGAGCATAGCCTCATTGAGATCGATCTGAAGCTTCCTTTTACCGCCCCAACTGACGATCACCGGCCCGTTCTGATTAACTAGTTTCATGTTGTAATCGAAGAACGTTTGCGTCGGTCCCCAGGGAACTTCATTCGAAGGGTACGGGATGAGGTATTTACGGGCCCGTGTGCAGTTCAGGAGGAATATGGCAACATTTTGTAGCGATGCGTCGTCTCTTCCCATATCTCGCTCTGGTCTCGCGTACACCTGTATGTTTTGGGCACACTGTTACATAAGTTCGTCATATAACAGTTCAAAGGTTTCCACGCTGATGATTCATGATTCTCAATGAGCTCGGACATGCTGGACCGGGAATTCAGGAAGAAAACTCTCGCTGATCGTGAATTCTATACCTTAAAATAGTAACGGCCCTCGGTAGGGGGGGTAATCCCGAAACAGCTGACTAAGCGGTCTTCCACCAAGTGACAGAAAACGTAATTGTTCAAAGTAGAGTTCTCCACTTCTTCGGCGGGATATAATTTGAACTTGAATCGCATGTGATCGTGGCTAGCGATTCGTATGTCGGTTCGCACCCGAAACTCTAATGGGTTTTGCACCTTGGAACGGATTTTCATCGAGAACTGAAAAAATGCGGCGTCACCTTCGGCAGCGAGTTAAATGTTTCCAGGGTCATTGGAACGTCCAGGAGTTGCCATCTGGAAAATGATTAGGAGACGTTTTAGACTTGACCCTCGCGAATAACTTTGGAAGGAATTTTCAGAAAATCAGAGGAGAGACGAGAGAAAACACACTGTGGAATGAGATACGCTGCCAGCCCCGCTTTTCGGACCACGGAACAGACCAACCTTTCATAATGGGCCTCCAGATCGTCAAAGGGAAAGTGAGTCCAGATGAAAACCTCTGGGTCGGTGAGGAAAAAGTGTTCGTTGAGCTTGCGCTGAAAAACTCCCGTGTGATCTGTGAATCCTGTCCCCCATGTCACGTCGATCAATCTCCAACAGCCAAAGAGGAACACAGCATTCCACGCGTGCGGGACATCCGCTCCCGGCGAGAACTGGTGCCCAGGTCTGTAGTCATGACCCTTTGCGAATCCTTGGATCTGCTTTACGCGGATTCCAGCATGTCTAGCGATCGGAAAAAAAGAGATGTATTCACTAGAATTCGGGAGTTCATTTCCCTGTTGGAGTCGTCGGTTTCGAAATCTGCGGGCATGAACTGGAAAGCCGAGGTCTTGAGTCCCCGGCCTTCGTACAGGTTATTTCTTCGGAAGGAGACTGTGGAGAGCAAATGTCCGCGGGAGCTCCCAGTCAAGGACCTGCGGATTCCGGAGTCAGCGCGACATGGAGCCGCGCGAGGAATTCTCAGACTGGACTTACTTGCACATCTCACAGAATAAACTACAGTAGTCCCTGCAGACTCCTTGTTTCGTCCGAAGAACATCTTCAGGTTCTAGTTTTTCATCGATGAACTTCCAATCGAATCTTGAAGGAGAAAATAGCGAATAGGAGAACCTTACCCCTTACAGCCCCGGGAGCTACTGGCTTACTATTGGAGGGTCATTTCATATCCTTGTGTAAGAAGAAGGCAGGCATATATCTCGTCCAGCGAGGAATCCAGACCCCCGACCGTCGCGGAGCTCGATTTTGACTAAGTGCAAGTAATTTTGAGTATCGTCCCCTTGCACTGGTTCACGGTACTCCGGTTTAATTTCAAGCTCTGATATTTGAAGTGTGAGCATGAACGAACGTGTGAAATAATCGGAAGCGATCTCGTGACCCCACGTCGCTGACTCATCAATAATTCGTGCGGCGACCTTCAACGTTTAGGTATCGGCAGCTGGCCGAAGCTCAATATTCGGGGCTCGATCGGGCGGGAGAATGGTTGAGAGCCATTTGTTTACTCCATGGTGAAGTGGTGTTCGGGAGAGCGTGGAGGGCTATGCGATAAACATTTTGTCGAGGGAGAAAGGGATACTCACGAGATATTATTCGTAATCCAGCGGAAAATGGCACGAACTTTGAATAGGTCGCTCCTACATTTCGACATAAGGTGATTGACGAGGCTCGCTATACCGCCGTCTACGACATCGGGTGGCACCTGGAAAAATTCCTCCGTAATCTGCGGGAGAACGCGTGATTGTGAATCGAAATCCAAGCGGGACCTCATACAATCTATGATGAGCTGCTTCGATTCGTCCCGGAGACCCTTCAAGGAATGTACATGATCGACAAACGGACAGTGTTCTCGACAGCTATGCAGCCTCGGACAATCTTAGAAGCTCATCGGTGCGACAAACGAGGAAGTCGTGAATGAGTCGGCATTGGTCCATGACCGGAGTTCCGGTCGTAACTCTTGCCGTGGACCTCTTCCGGGCATTTGAGTGGTCACGTCGGCTGCATCGGTTCGCGACATACACAGAGCGTGTCAGTGGAAGCGTTGAGCTCCGAAACAGCGATACTGAAAATGTATCCGTCTGAATTTAAAAATCGGGCTCTGAAGCCAGCATCGGCGTCGTGTTACGGCAAGTGCGCGGGATCCCGAACGCTGAGCCCGAAACTCTATGAATATGGGCGCACGATGAACTGGTCGATCTTCCGTGCCACGGGAAAATCCCAACGTGACCGGATCGAGAGTCGATGAGCCACCATGTTCCTGGGAAGTTAGCTCCTGAGCGATCTACGTTTCGAAGCTGCGCAGGTAGGTACTGACTGCGCACGGGAGCAAAAAAAAGCGCCAAATCTAAGCGTTCCGGTCATGAACGGTGAAGTGCTGCTGCAGTGAACCTCCTGGAGAGGCTTCAGTCAGCTGGGACATAGCAGCACATCTCGCTCGGACCTGAGGTCTGAACTCCAGGACCCTTGATGGAAGCCCCGACGGAAAGCGTCAAGGAAACTTCCACGAGGAGCTCAACGGAAGCCGTCTCAGGCAGCGCTTTAGGGACGACCGTCCCCGGTCGAGCCACGTCTTCTCACGGAGCGATGTCACGAAGCGAAATGCACGTTTTCGGCACCGATAATTGCCAGACGCGCTAAGCACTCGACCATTCCGTTGGCCTCCTGCTCATAGGAATATATGTCGACGCTACCCTCCGGTTTCGGGAATGGGCCTCGAAGTCACGTTCTGGCACCGACCGGCGCACTGAGGCGAGATACATATAGATAGCCTATCGTGACACAAGGGCCCGAGGCTTCTCGCGAACAACGCGATGTTCAGAGACTCGCGGAACGGAGAGAGGTAATTCTGTGAGAGGAAGGAGCGCGAAACATCAGTTGCAAATAAAGGTCTCTGCGATCCAGAATTAAAACTACAGAGAGCGCACTCTTTTTGCCCACTGCCGCTGATTCGCAAAATACACTCTCGAAACACTGTCGATCAGCTCGTTCGCCGACCATGACGGTAAAACTCCCCTGTGTCCGACCTTGCACTGGATTGGACCATGGGCCTAACCTCGACGTCAAGGCAGAGTCCCAGCAAGGTCCAAAGCCTCGGTCGGGTTTTTGATCGTCTACCCGACCTTCATAGCTATTTGAGGTGATCGAGTATTCAGACATCACGGATGGCACCGCATCCCGGTCTTGGACACCGACCAAGTCCCCGACTGTAGCTTGGCACGGCAACATGTGAATATCCAACCCACGACAGATTATAATATCGGCACAGGATCGATCCGAGTAATCCATCTCGACGTCGACGTGGTCGACCCTCTGGTTATCTGACGTGTCCGATGCCCATGACGTTTACGGACATCGTTCCGCAAAACGAAAGCGACTTAGTTGATCAAGGTTGGGGAGGAAATGCTCTGGAGGCTGGGCGGCTAAGCACTACTTCAACTCAGTACTCAGTCTACGAAATGATCCTATGATGATGTCTAAATGATTCCAGAACTTTCTTACTTGGCTAACGCTCTTATCGATGTCGTTGAAGATGCCTGCCATCGGAATCAGCTCCTTCTTTTTACACGGGGGAGGCCGAGCAGCGAACTCGGCCGATTCGTCGGTTGTCACATCGTTCAATGTTTGAACCGCGATTTCGCGTTTCTCAATGATAGTTGCCAATCTGTGGACGACGGTGACTTATGAAACTGTACTTCGGGTGCTTTCTCACGAGAATGATTTTATACGATTCCGGGCACTCACGGATTGCTCATCGAAGACAGTGTTCCAGCCCGGGAACTTCCACACACGACCGTCTTCTCAAGACAATCTTCGTCTGGCTTCCGGCCGGGCGATTTGACACCACTGCCGTTCAAACTGTCATGGGCACTACGGGGCGAGAACGAACACAAAGAATGGATCAGTTTAATTCCGAATAAGTCGAACCCATGTTTTTCCCCGAGAAGCCTGGCGAGGTCCTTTCCTGTCTTTTACCTGCTTTGTGACATGCTGTCATGGGCGTGATCCAGTTCCTGCTGTATGAAATGCAATTCATCTTCGGTCATTCCAAAAGCGTTTGCGGCGGGGGCTCTCGATATGGGCTCAGTTTGACCCTTGAAGTCTGAAGTCACCTGCGGATGCGTATCCAATACTCGTCAGTTTCTCTCCAAGATCTTTCCGAGAAGTATTGGCAATGTTCCCGATTCATTCGGAGCTGCGGCTTACCCATTTGGACAAGTCCTCTTCGCTGGCTGTCCACTTCTGCCCAACAGGAATTTCGGTGATTTCGTTCATCGATTTCCTGTTTTTCAGGTCGCTCTCAGATTCCTCGTCTGGAACATTCTCCTTATCATCGGTATCTTCCGTGAAAGTATTGACCGTGTCTTCGGGGGTCCTGCGAGTCAGCTGAGAGTCTTCGGTTCGCTTCGATTCAAAAGGCTCGATTTCGGTCCTCTCGTGTCGGTGCAATAGTGTTTGTATTTTCCTGAGGATTCGGAGATCTCTTGTTATCGCATCTCAGGTTTCACATCTCCTCATTCTTATATACCGCACGGCATGGAGAAATTGGAAGGTTCCTCGGCGTGAAGTGGAGATTCCGTCGGAACAAGAGTACATCTTGAAATCGGTTCCCTCATGGTGGATGAGTTCCACGCGCACGTTTTTGTTCGACGTCCTCTTTCGACCAGATCGACTCAGCGGCGCATGACGACCGCATTTCACGAGTGTTTTCGGCGTGTTGACCATGAGGTGACCTTTCCGACCGGACGCTCAGCGCCAATTTTCGTTCAAGCTCGGAGGGGATCCTCGCAAAGCTCGAACTGGTTTCATAACTTTTCGTGGGAGAAATATTTCACACCGTTTGGTCTTGGCTGGCTTCTTCGATTGATAAGCTCTCCCTCTTCCGAGGAATGGATCCGAAATATTTGTGGGTACATCCTGTCATAGTTCAAAAATAGAATTTATCTAGGGATGGAGGAGAGTTTCCGCTCGCTAGGAACATCGATTGTTGGGTGTGTCGGGAAATACGGAGCGGAGCGGTATTATTTTCGAGAGCATTACACGAGACATGACTGGCATGTCAATGCGTCAAACGTCCTCAATTACGTCAAGGTCATGATTTCCGGGACGTGGATGTTTTGGTACAGGGGACATTTGCTACGCCGCGCCGGCGAGAACTTCGGCATTAAATGCTACACGCTGGAGCTATTGCTTACTTGTTCGATGAATAATCGTCCTGACGTAGAGTCTGCACCGCCGCGTCGATGATTCCTATGTCTTTCAAATGGAGATGGGTCGTGGTAACGATTTCTTCCACCCAGTGCACACGCTGAGCACACCAGCTCTCCTCGGCACAGGACATCGTTTCGTCCATGTCGTCATCGGATGAGTAGGAACTTGGATAGTCCACCTGTGCGCTGCGATCCTGGACGTCTTGCATTGCGGCCTACGGCAGGGAAAACGATCATTTCGTTAGACTCCCTCAAGAAATCCAGTCCCGAGCAGTTCAGAGGGCACGCGGATCGACGTTTCAGCCCTTGTTCCAAGCTTTCTTGCGCGGGTTCCTCGATATCACGATCGAATCCACATCAGGCATGGAGCGTCTTTTCAAGCGAGATCCGTGGAGGACCCTCTCCCTCCTCCTGAGTACGCCTACGGCCGCGCCCCCAGATAGTCTTCGCTCGGGACGTCCAGCTCTCGGTCGTCATCACAGCTTCGCACCGCGTTGAGCTCCAATCAATGCGTCTACAGCGCCGCGTCCTGACGCACGACGCGCCGCTGGCGGCTCCTGCATGATTCCCAAATGAATTCGCCGCCTGCCGATGGTCCTTCCCCCCCCCCCTGATGCAAGCCTGACGATATCTCCTCCGGGAGCCTCTGGGAAGACTCTCGAGACCATCCTTGCTCGAGCAGCGTTCCTTGACGGCTTGACGGGTAACATATGGGAACCAAATGTTGCCCATCTCACACTCGAGGCCCAAGGCGAGAGTTCCTCCCAATTCCTGCGGCGGTTGATACTGCTGAACACGCTGCTTTAAAGTCTCCTCCAAATAGAAGATATTGAATTGAAAAAGCTCAACCAGAATCGTCCCAATAATCGTATCCGTCCCTCGTATGGAATGGTTGAGCTCCTTCCGTGGGGAGCTCCAAAAGAGAAATTCTAAGGGATGACCTTGAGAGTCATTTCCGCCGTCAGCATGAGCCAGGGACTCTTCAGCGGGAACCATATGGGAGTCCTGACCGAGAGGCGTTCGAAAACCTCCACAGGAGCTTCACGTTCGCGGGAGTCTTTTGAACATCATTGAACGATTATTCCCTCTTCTTTCCCGCTCGATCCGCAAACTCCTGGCGATGTTTCTTGCTGTAGGACTGTCCGTTGCGCTAAGCTGTGCGTTCCCGCTAGCCTTGAGCTCAGATGTAGGTACAGCACCCCCCTTTTGGCGAGAAACAGCGACAAGTCCTCTGATCGATCATGCTCGGTCCACAGTTTGAGAACAGGTGAGAGACTCAATTCGGGAAATGAATCTTCTGAGTGATTGACGTTTGAAATTCAAGGACACCCAGTGGAGGGGAACCACTGGTTTAACACGTTTAGTGAATTATTCAGCCTACCAGGCTTAGTCACGTGCGGGCCCAGAGCGGCTTTTGAACCGAAAAAACAACTAAATCACAGGTCTCGAGTTTCTCGTTGCCACATATTTTCTCCTCCTCGCGTCCACGATTCCGTCGTGATGTTGGTGCAGACATCCTAGCTTTTTGGGAAATGAGGCCTACGTTTTCGAGGCTTTCGCGCCAGAGTCGAGCTCTAAATTTTCCTGCATCAGAGAAAGCTTTGAGACGCAGAAAAAAGTTGAGCCCCATCACAGCCTTTGCGAGGGTCCTGACGATGAATGAATTCGAGGCCTATCTCGTGAACCCGACAGTGAACACACGCGAGGTCAGTGCGTGGGCTACCGTGATTCGTTGTCCGTTCCGCGCGGCGCTCTCATCAGAATGGGGAAGTGAGCTTCGTTATGCAGTGACCAGCTCAGTTCTCCCCCTGAGCCAAATCTGAATGCCTTCTCCATGTTAAGTGATGTACATACATACATACATGACCCGCGGACAGGCTCTAATCGAGGCGTAATCTGGTGGCTCGAGAGGCTTCCGCATCGTTCATAAAACCGTCGATTGACTCCGGGGCTTCTGCTGATAAGACAATTCGTTCACTTCGGGAATTCATCAGGAAGAGGTGGCCCGATCTACTCTGTATTGCGAAAATCGAGCAAAGCTGGATTTTTGCTCCTTTCTCTGGCGGTTCCGAAGGAGAGTGACCCGTCCCGAAGCCAACTTCCCGCTCGGATGGAGGCCCAGACGTATAGAAGGATGATACTATTCGGCCAGAAGGTCTTATGGTTTGATTCCGTCACTGGGGTTTGGGCTCCGGTGTCCACTTACCTGGGTTTCGGCGTGACGCATTATCGCTGTCGGTTTCGTCTGGCCCAGAGTGAAAGGACGATCTCCGGTTCCAGGGTTCCAGTCTGCCGTTACTCTGAGCGGCTCTCCTTGCGGTTGAACCTTACTCGCCCCACAGCCCATTCTGCACATTGGCCACAAGAATCCAAGAAGAAAATGCCCGCAAGAATCCACGACACTTATGGTACGGGTTTTTGTGAGTCAGAGGACAGTCGGTCGCAAAACCCAACGTAGCTCTTCCACGGTGCCAGAAACCAGAAATCAAGACGACTGGGTTGAACCGATGAGGTGGAAGGAGAGGTCGGAAAACGAACATGAACTACACTGAATTCTTCCGGGTCCTTATCCGGGATGAAGATCAGTTGGCACGAGCATAGATGGTGGGGCCATGGGGTCAGTCGTGTGAGCTTCAATCGTCGTGAGGGCCTCGTATGATCGTGTATTGTGTCTACTCACGTAGTACCTCGAACTTCCATGCCTACGGTACCGATGAGCGAAGGGTAACTCTCGCCTGAGTCAGCTCGCTTGTTCGCGTACTTTCCACCCGCTATCTGTCTACCTGCACTGACGGCCAACGGCTCCGACGTCGTTCAGACTTGAGGTGCAGCAAGAGAGAGAGGAGAGTCCTCGCAGTCGTTCGCCGGAGGCACGTTCCAGTTTCCAAGTTCAGGAATTCGAAATAAAGAGTCGATGCATGAGTCGATGCCCATTCAGAAGGGCCCTCTGAAGCGTCCCGAATTGCTACAGGAGCCATACAAAAGACACCAGGACCGCGAGCGCGCACAACTTGATTTCGGAGCAATCTCACTGAAAGACTTCTCCTCGTCTCGAACCGTCTCGATGAGAGTACCATAGCGATAGGTGCAGGACAACCGCCGCTTGGGCCGCGCGAAAAAACGATAAGGAGCGCGCATCCCGAAGTCCCAGACCGACGGATCGCGGAGTCGTAACGACGCTATGCACAGAGCATATATATGGATTCGCAACGAGCATTTTGACCTTGCCTGGTGCGAAAGGTCGCTTGCTTGAGTGAGACAGCCGACCGAAAACTCCGTATACCCTGTAGTGATCGTGCGGAAAGCCTGTGGGTACTCTGCGAGAACCGGAGCTGAGACGCTTCTCTTAGCGCTGATGCAGGAGTCGATCCTCCGGTGAAAAACACATGCGCTGTCTTCGGAATTCATCGGCACGCGGTGTTCCCCTGAGTCTCTATGGGTTGGAGACAAAGTTCCGTTCTTGAGATTCTGATTATCGTTGCGATCGTAATTCACCCGCCATGCTGCGGGGCGACCTTGATAACGACGGTCACGTCGGGCAATCTCGAGACCGTAGCGTCCTTCACCTCATTTCAGAGGACGATCATAGGCCGCGACACAGGAGCTCCGCAGTTGTCAAGTTAATTGAATGCTCTCTGATCTGGCCTCGCCGCTACGACCGTGAACAGTGCTACGCTTATCAGCGTGATTCTCCTCATAATCGAGTCCCCTCCTCAAGTCTGGAATCACTGTGGATCCCGAAGGGACGGACTCACGTTAGAGCGTCTGGCAGCTAGGGCTCTTTACGTGCACTTGCGCCGCGACGTCTCCCGTATGCGGGAAGGCGAGCGTTTGCGTCGAAGCAAGAGAAGTACCTTCCTATATACATATCCCGCCCCTTTAAGAGGAGCGTCCAGGCTACGCCATCGGTCAGGAAGACCACGACGGCATGGCGATCAATCTCGCGGAACTATGAGCTCTACGGCACCGAAAGAGCTTCCGAGATTATCCCCAACTCGAAGAAAAATAAGGGCTGAAGTACTCGATGACAGCGGTCTGCGGCCAATACGACCTGTCAGTATCCCCCGATCCTAATACCGATTCTGCTTGCTACCTCGGGGACACCACGTCGCTGCTCGAATGCGCTCGAATTCCCAATCAGGTGATCCTCACTTCGAACGAACCCATGCCACGATCCTTGTGGAACGGCAAGCTTCATTGAATTCCAGGGTCCTTCGCCAGAATCATGAACGGGACTATCCTGGAGACTTGTCAGGCCTCGGAGGTTCCTCCTCGCAGGCTCGATCCAGTCCCTGGAGCATGCGTCGACGGGTGTACAGCCGTAAAAATAGGCCCAGATCAACTCTCCAATGAAGTACTCTTCATTTTATTGTGAAAAGATATTTCAATATCGAAATAAGGAGGTGGTTTTAATAGTCATTATATTACAGATCATCTGTTCTGAGTTATTTCAGTTCGTTCCATCGACCAGGGAGCATTCGAGAAAGCTCCAAGGTGGAACCTGAAGCTTGGACAAATTAGACAAGACCTACTGATAAATTATGGAAAATAATATCATTCACCTCTCGCTCATACACAGATACATGTCTATACGTGTGTATATATATTATCTCGTTTAACTTAGGAGTAAATGTGAGCACGAAAGATCGAACAATGAACTTCCGTGACTTTTTCAGAAACTAGATGCCTCACTCTGTCACAAGGTCAGCGTTCCCGATGACTCCGGTCTAACTGATTCATGAGGAGCGAACAGGGGCTTTTCCGAGATTCGAGAACACAAATTCACCAACTGACATCGTCAATGCTACTCCCCATTCTTAGGAATTCCGAGATGATCGTCACGAACTCGACCGACGGAGATCAATGTCCCCGAGTGACATTCACGTTAAACTAAACAACCTATCGGAGTTGATTATTATGACTACGAGACGGTCAGTATAATAAATTAAAATAGGAAGATAAGGCTAGCCACTATGAGTAATTCCGAGTAGTTCTGCCTCTCCGCGACTTGGAGAGAGGCTCCTGAATCGACGACGAACATCGATCGGATTCCTCTCTTCAACGGTAATTATTTTTGGACAAAAATATTATGATAAAAATCATCTTTTACGATTCTCGACAGCTTTCGACGACGAAGACACGAGCGTGGTGAAATCTGATGTCTAGCTAGAGTTGAGCTTTGAGCATGCTAGTCCCTTCCTGCATAGATCGATGGATCGGCAGGTTTCCTCCAGGAACTTTCGACATCTTTGGCAGTAGGAATCGCGCTGTATGTCGCCAGGACTGATCGTCCTTAACCGGGATATGTGTGGAGTTTCTTAGTTAGTTAGTAAAATACTTAAAACAGTATGACTGACTACCTTTGGCTGAGCAGCTTTGAAACAGCGCTGGGAAGCCGAACTTTGAAAATTCTCGCATGAGTTCAATCAGCTCCGCCGCGTTCCACCCCATCAACAGTAATAAATGATTATTGTCATGTTTGAGATCAGGTTTTTCGTTAATCCATCCGCGGAGAGTGCCGCTCGCATAATGGTCGAAGGGCGGATTTCACGTGACTTAAATAACGAGAAGCGTCGGCATACTGCTCCAAAAGGCTCCCACTGCGGTGACTGTGTAGAAAAGAAAGTTCCGTCTAACTAATTTGGCCTCCTGGTGCGGACATTGAGCTCGAGGACGTAGATATGGTTTGAGCCCGCCGCCCTCAGAATAGTCTTCGTCAACCTAATGCTCTCGGTTCCGGAGGCATTCCAACGAAACAATCCCTCGGTCGTGCCAACATGTAATGTGAAGTGCCTCAACAAAGTCGTACACGAGCTCACAAATCATCTTTGGTCTTCGCAAGTATGCTCGAGGAGATCATAGCCAATCAGAGCGTTGGGTTTATCACTAGTGGCCTTCGTGCATCGACGAAACCTCCTCGTCCTGGCTATGTGGGGAGTTGGGCGCGTCTTTCTTCGGGCCAAAAGCGAATTGAGCCGCCAGTGTCTGTATAGAATAAGTGATCATGTTCAGATGCGCGAGGATTTCCCGCTGGAATAAGAGCTGGCCTTCTTGAGCTGCTTTCTGATCGGCAATGACCCGTTGCAGAATGTTGTGGATCTTTTTCTGCTCCGAAGCCGTCTGGCTGCAGCTGTTGCAGTTGGCTTTGGGTGCCGAAGAAGATTTCATCGTTGGGAGCTGTACGAGGGGATTCGCCATTCCGAACAGCATGCTGGGATTCAGTGTCAGGTGGCTTGGCAGAGCTGGAATAGACGTGAGATTGATAAGTTGGAGGTGATCGCTCACGAAAAGGCATCACAGTCCTGCATCAAAGGGCCGTTCACTGGCACCTATCGATTCGTCTTCAACAGGTTAAAAGCGGAAGCATGGAGGCGACAATTCGAACGACACCTACCATGGGGGAAACTCGAGGGCAGCACCGTCGACTGGCTCTGGGAGATTGTTTGAACAGGTGTGCAGTTTTGGCTCGAGCGGGGGGGCGTCCTTGACACGGGTGGGGACCGGGATGAAGGCGGCGGAGTTTTTTCCTTCTTGATTGTCAATGAGAGCGGACCACTAGGCACGGTGTGTTTCTCAGATTCTGTATTGTTCGATTTTACTTCTTCGCCGTTCTCCGAATTTCCGTCATGGTGCTCATGCTCGTTCTCCGAGTGACCATCCGGGACTTCGGCATTACAGGACATCGGGCTTTCGGAAGCTGCAAAGAAAGGAGTCGCGAGATTAGATGAGAGTTCTTTCGGCCAATGGCAGAAAGCCACGGAGTTTAATTGAGAGCCTGGCTGCATAGTCTGCGCTAGGAGCCCCCTGCTGCAAACTGGTTCTAACGGTTCTCAGAGATCGTTGAGAGGCGGAACGTTGGGATGGGCGCTCTCGCCCCAGCGCACTGTCTTCGTGTGACCCTTCCCGAAAAAGGGAGCCGCCAGCTCCCCCGTTGGCTGCACGCAAGGGAGTCAGCTGAACTCTGTCACAGGCGTGCTCATGACCGTTGTCGAACCCTTCCTCGCTGTCAGAAGCTTTAAGTCGATCGACAACTTTTTGCTCGTCATACCGATCAATGCTTGCTCCATGAGGCTGATTGAGCGAGAGCTACCGGCGGGATGGAGTGCTCCGGCCAGAGAAGCAGGCAAGCAAGTCAAAGAGAGAGAGAGAGAGTGAGTGAGCGAGCGAGCATGTATGTGGAGTTATATGCGGCCTTCCTCTAGGGCGTTCTCCGAAGGGGCCAAATCCAAGTGTGGGACTCCGTTAGCGAGACGACGACGACGACAACACCAACAACAGCAGCGGCGGCGACAACGACCAACTGATCGACCAGGTGTTCTTCTGGTGCTCCCACACTCTCTATATGCCATTGTATGTCTCTCTCTGCCGGCCTGTCTGCCTGCCTGCCAGCAGACTTCTCGCTTGCTGCGCAATTCAGACGCTGAGCGTTGGTCGACCCTAATCGGAGCTTGAACCCTCCCTAGACGCATCGCGAAAAGCCAGCGAGCAAGTTTATTAGAGTTGTAGCTTGTGCAACATTCGGCTTGATTACTGTTTTACGAGCTGAGGATTGTCTTCCCTCGCGATTGGGAGAGCACTTATCTGAAGACCGTCTTGATTCAGCGAGCGGTCAATGAACAGGATTCTTACGCATTTTTGCGGTTCGCATCTTGTTCGATCGCCCTGTCAAGCAATCCCTGTTGGAAAAGTTCAAGACTCCGAGCGACGCGAGGGCCGAGTCCTGCGCTCGCTTTTCCCAACGTCTCTGCAGAAATCCTTGCTCCTGACGTTTCTCTCACAATCGGCGGTATCCGGGTTATAGTAAGAAAGGCCGGTAGAGTAAATCTACCTGGACATTTTCGTGCTGTCATCAATTTTTGTTGAAGCTCGCCTCAACCCGGACCCTGCCACTTCATCAGACGGTTGCCACCAAGTTTGTCCGTCCGCTCGTCTGTCGGTCGGTCTCTTCGTCCGAACGCCCGCTCGCCCGCCGCTAGTACGGCCGGTATATCCGTGCGTCCATGTATTCGTAATCCAGGTTCGTCTGAGCGCCGACCAGGCAACCAGGTGCAGAGTATCCGGCTCGCTCTCTCGCTCATTCGTTTTCGGAGTTGTAGTACGACGACAACGACGGAGTGCAGGAGCGACAACGCATACAGCAAACGGTCCATCAGAACATCTGGGCTCGGGGCATATCGCTGCCACCATCGCCTCCAACGCTAACACCCTCAGTGCCATATGTTCGGGTCTGGTCTCAGCTCTCGCTCGCTCTCTCTGAACTCCGCTGTATTCTCCGCTAAGCGTTGACTCGAACCTCAAGTTAACGATCGACGACCCGGTGCGGCTTCGGGCACATGAAGATCGAGTCGGAATCGAATCTGTGGTCGACGATTGGCACGTTCAGATCTCAGGGGGAAAAAGACCGAGGGAAGCGCTCTGAGAATTCTGTTCTCATGGAGCGATGATTTTTTCTCCGAGACGTGACTCCATCTCCTTTCCTTTGTGGGACGAGTCGCGGGAAAAGGTCTCGGCGCATTCCGAATAACCGGCCCGGCTCCCGATGCATCTCTGGATCTTTATCGATGCAAACACTGATAAGAGTGTGACAGTAAGAGAGAAGGCTAAACGCCGGAAGCTCGAGCCAATGAGGTCATTCCCGTCCGCTTCCTTCTTCATGAGCAGGACCTCCGTCAGAAGTTAAGCCTGCGGCCGGCGACGTCGCCGCCATGTGATTTGTCGGCTCAGAGGTGGTGGGCTCGCGGCTGAACTGTCCTGGATGACTGACTGGTCGCTGGGATGACATGCTGGCTGTTCAGAATCGTCGTGACGCCGGCCCGAGCACTCAAAACAGTCGGGAACAATGGCGGGAGCACTAGGGAGCTTTTGACGACTCGGTGCGGCAGAAAGTCCAGCCGACGCTCCTACGGGGAGAAAAGACCGGCGAAGCAACAGGGCGGGCGGGCGACCGGACCGTTGGCCCGGTGGCCGCCGCTCGCTCGCTCGGCCCGCCAACGGAATAACTATCGAGCCAGCAGCCAGTCCGATGGAGGATTGTTGCCGTCCCTGGTTTGCGGATAGGAAACTGTTACATTGAACTTGCGCGACTCGGTTCTGGCAGTTTCTCTGGGTCAAGCAGCGGTTGTTCACCCCGGGCTGCTCCCGTCAGTCGGCCGGCCCGTCAACCGTCGGTGCCGCCACCGCCGCTGATGTTGTTGCTGCCGCCGGCAAGCAATGTCAATGAACGCCCTTGCGAAGGAAGTTTGTTGACTCCGCGCGAACAGCCGGTCGCGACCAGCAAACGGTGGCGGTGCTTGCTTGGGCGTCACTCACTCACTCACTGAGTCGTCTATCCGTCAGTGAAAGAAACGGCGAACAGGCCCATGAGCAAAAACCGACCGACCGGCAAATACTGAGAACGCGAAGAACTTTAAATGGGACAAAATCGGAAAACGGAGTAAAAACCAGAAACAGAGTGGGATCTGTCGCGATCTCAGCGGCTGTCGCGGGAAAGAACGAACTTCGGGAAAACCGACCAGAATTGATAGCAGAGGTACCGTTCGAGACCGAGGGCATCCGAGAGAGTGAATAAGCCGAAAGCGACAACACGGATCGGAGGCCCCCTCCCCGCGCTTGAATCCTGGGAACGCAAATCGCAGGCTTGAGGGTATCCCACACTGGCTTTTCTGCCGTAAGATCTTTCAGCACGGAGTCGACAGAGTCTGAGTTCGATTTCAGGCTTTGTCAGGAGGCACAGAAAGACACTTCGTGTCTAGCAGACCTCTGAAACCCGGTCGCTCCGACAGCCGAGCTCTGTTTGCTCAATTCGAGAATTTATGACATCGCCGACTCCGCCGCGACTATTCGAGACGATTCCGGGTGCAAGAAATGAGCGAGGTGGCCTCCTTCTTGGCCAGGGCTTTCCTTCATTCGGAGAATTCCTGACGTGACGGAGGGTTGCCGTCGAGCAAACGAAGAGAATAATCGAAGCAAGATCATCCAGACGAACTTTCTCGCGATTAGCATGGAGAGAATCAGTCTAACGGGAACACGCATATCTCGTGTTGTCGAATTGACCAAGGGTAGCGAGAAGCTGTACGTTTCCCAGACTTGCCGGCCGACGTGGCTCGCCTGTGAACGCATACGGATTGGTGGCTGGCTGTCTAGCTCACTCGTCGGCGGTCGCCGACGACGATACGGTTCTTTGGATCGATTTAGAGTGCGCTTTCTCTGGCGGCCCCCAGAAGCATTCGCTCACTCGTTCTCCCGCTCTGCCATAGTACCAGATGAGTCAGAGGGGGCCTCACCTCCTTTAGAGCAACGGCGTGGGTTTCATTCAACATATAGAAAGAAGTGGAGGGGTACCCCAACGAGGGGTGGAGTGGCCCAACTAAGCAAGAAAAACCTTCCCGGTTTCTCTTCCTGTGTTCCTCTATAGTTTTTTGCCTCTCTCGCAGTTTTGCTCGGTCTATGCCTATCTGTTCTCGACTCGTCTGCCCGACTCCACTAAGGTTCAAATCTCATTCAATTCCCTTAGAATTGGCTCTCTCAATTAATTCACGGGCTCACAGGACCGTATCCCTGACGGGTCCTCGACCGAAACCACGACGAGAGCGTTCAAGGAATTTGCTCGTGAATCCGGGAGATCCGTGACCCGCCCCCTTCCCGCTTCGATCTCGATGAACCCGATGGCAGGTATTCCGGAGCGCGGAAGCGAATCATAAGCTCAATGTGCCATGTCAAAATCGAACGAATGAATTACTACTGGCTGGCTGGTCGGCTGTCTGTCTGGCCGGCTGTGTGACTGCGAGCTCTTTTGCATATCACCTCTTTCTCTCGCTTGCCCGCTCAGGAGACCGCCGAAACGACCGAGCCGATCGACCGAGGACCAGGAAAACAGACGGACAGACAGACTGCGAGACCGACGAGGACGAGCCACTCGACCAACCGCCCAGTCTGAACGAGCGTTCGACCAGCTGGTTTTGTACCTCATATGCCGCTGCCATTGCCGTCCCCTGTCATATTCCTTCGTTCCGAGTCGCCCCGAATCTCCTCCTGAATCTCATCCTGGTCCCCCTATCCTGACTGCAATCAGCCCGCCAGCCAAACAGTCAGTCGCCAGCCCGCCAGACGGACCGACGAGACCAACGACAGTGAAATTTCTCGAGAGGAGGAGGAGGAGGCGACGACGACGACAACAAATGTTTCGGCGAATGCATTTTGACCGGGACACGCGCTCTGGAATCGAGTCTTCTACCAGCAGTACCAGCCAGACGAGTAAGAGCAAGTAGTATGCTGCCCGGCCATGCGACAGAAAGAGAAACAACTCGTCTGGGACCACAGTAGCCTACCGACCCGTGAACTCTACGGGCTACTCTGTAGTCGTCGTCGCCGGCGGCTGATTCCCGTTCGTGGAGCCTCTGAGCAAGGGGGCTCCTACCGGATGCGAGTCCAGACGGGGCGGTTGGGAGACGGTCGTTTCTAGCTACATCGAAGAGCGAGGCTTATTTCCTCGTCGGGGAAGCGTTCCGTTTGTATTTCGTTCTTTTTTCGTTCGTATCCCGGAGAATTCCCGATACGTGCCGTGAATAGCGTGAATAAAGACTCTTCCGATTGAGCTCAGAAGCAGTGCGTCGTAGACGGCCAGGAGAATCGGATCGATGTTTTCCGATCGAACTTTCCTCGTAGACCAAACAGTGTCGACCGCAGACAAAATTCTAGTGGAGATTTAAACCCCGTCGCGAGAGACAAGGGATTCGAGGACTCCTACACTTTCCAGGCGATCTAAGATTCGGGAGCCTGGCGGTATATTTCGATACAGACGGGTACGTCAATCATGTTTACTCACTTGGTTCATCGTCGTCTGGATACGACATCTCGGTGGAAAGAACATCGGCTGGGTAATAAGGCTCGCTGAGACTTCTTTCCGACAGCGAATTGTGATTGTTGTTGCTGTTGTTGTTGTTGTTATTGTTGTTGCATATCGCCTTGAGTTTCTCCGTGTTCTGGATGGCGGCTTGCTGGATGAGACTGGGCCGAGTGTACGGGGATCGTCCGACGATAGCACTGACTCTCGCGGTGAACTCGCCCTGCTTGTGCTCTCGAACGTCGCGTTTCAATCGTTTTAGCCGCTCCCTAACCTGCATCGGACTCCGGTCGAAGCCCTGTCCGCGTAGAAGATCGGAAATGGTCCGATAGATCGACTGGAATTTCGGAACCATCATCGATGCGGAGTTCTTATCGAAGTTGGCGTCCTCTTTCGCCATCTCGATTTCGTACACATCGAGCAACAAAGACGTCTCCTCCCGAGACCAGGAGCTTCCACGGCCGCCGAATTTCTGTGCGTCGTTCACGGCCGCCGCGGCTGCCGCTGCAGCTGCAGCAGCTGCTGCCGAGACATTCTTTACGGCACATACCGAAAGATCTGTGGGCAGTTGGTAGGACGTGAGTTCCATTGTTGCGGTCCGGTTTCTCACCACGACAACGGCACCATAGAAGATTTTGAGAGTTGCAAGCGAAACCGCTCCGTCAGAATGTCGAGCTTTTGCGCTTCGGATGGCCGGCGGGGTTCAACGACCGCCCGATGTCGCGGCCACACTGCGGACTTGTGCGGAGAAACGTTGTGCTGGTTGCCGTGTTGCGGCTCTGTTCCGATTTCTAATGAGCGGACAGCCCCTGCGAAATGGAGCCTATTTCTTCCTGAGTCAACCACGCTCGCCGGATGAGCACTCCTGCTCGGGAACTCGGCCGTACGATGACCGTAACGGGCTCCGTCGCCTTGAAATCACCGGTCTCGACGGCTCGAGCTGTTGAGTCCAAAGTTGAAGCGGTTTCCAAAGGCTCAAGGTAAGGTCGTTCGATGACCTCTTGCTTCGAGTGGAGCGGGTCGTCGTGAATGGCCGGGCCGCTGAAGAGATTGCCGTCGAGGATCTTCCGGGAAAACCTGGAAATGTGTGTACACAGTTGGCGTTAGGTCCAATGCAAAAGGATCGCGCGAGCCGATTGGTTTGTTTGATTGTTCCGGCCTTCCGTCTTTCAGTGGCTCTCACTAGCTAACAACGGCAGTGACGGCGACACCGGCCGCGACAGCAAAGAGTCCAAGAGGCCGATAACCTCTTCTACATTGCGGCAGCGGTGGTTTCCATGCGGTAATACACACTCTCTAAGATCAAATAACAACATTCGACGCGACTGACGAGTTCAACCTAATTGGAACGTCGCTTCGTCACATGGCCCGAAGCACTAGTTCAATGGCTTAGAGGAGATCCGGAAGGGGAAAAGCCGAAAGAGATTATGGTTATGTGTTATGTTGAAACACGTATTTACACGGCTTCGAAAGCAGTCGAGCTCTCGGATAGCTCTCCGTTCTTCGCTCGTTTCGCTCAAACTCTACGGGGACAAGAATCTCAGGCCGAGCGGGACAGGGTGAACAAGTGGATCTCGGACGAAAAACTACAATGCCGACGATATCGGATTTCTGGCTCTGATCATTTGATGAGTTGAGGATTCGAGTCCGGAGCTTGCAGGGACTCCTTTTCTTCCTGAGGCACGGAGGGCATACCGTGAAAACATCACCGGAGATCGAGAGAAGAAAATCTCACTATTTCTGACTCGGGTTAGTTTTTCGTTCAAACGATCGCGCCCGGGTGAAAATCCACACAGAAGACGTCCACGCATGCCCTCCCCGGTTAGAAAACGTTCTTCGGTGCAGATCGTGGAACCCCCGATCGAGACGGAAAGAGAGAGAAAGCCAGGACGGAAGTGACCACTTTCTTCATCTTCGGGATCGCCGACACGATGAGCAGCAGGCACTGAAGTTCCAAGCTGTATGCTGTGTCTGGTGGTTACTCCCCCTACGGTCGAAATCGGATGCGGAAACGAAAAGTCGTTGCCCCTCTACGGAACCAGGTGGTGTTCATCTGGTGTACTAAGACGCGAGACTTCAACCTTCTTGGCTTGCCTACGGCTCGGCGTCGCTTCCGGCGGTTGTAGACCCCTACTACGACTACTACTACAACTTCTACTACTATGACGTCGAAGAAGAAGAAGAACGGCGTCTAGCACGGCCGAAAGCGGCGAACAAAGAACGTCGACGCGTACGCCATGAGGCCGAGTCTCACCTATCGGCTCCCTTACGAGTTTACGAAACGATACAACCGCCGGGCTGCCAGTCAACAAGCGAGCTACGGACCGACGGACCGACCATCTGGGGTTCGTCCCGGACAGAGTTGCTGCAGCACAGGAACAGCCAGCCTGTGGAGCTCCGGCTGACTCTCGGTTGCTGTACCGTTACACAAAGGGGCACACGCTTCAATGGTCGTCGAGTGAGCTTCAGCCAACGAGCCAGCCCACAGCCGCCGCCGCCACAGAGCTCTGCTCTGGGCTCTAGCGTCGAAAGCGAGATAGTGAGAGACTCCTGCTAGTAGTAGCGGAGGTGGTGCTACAACCCATTTGGACAGATGGCTAGAACAAGAAGCAAGAGGCACCCTAGGGCTGCGCTAAGCGTCCGATCGGGGTTGGGGGCGAGCGAGCGAGCGATGCAGTGAACGAGCGAGCGATCAAGCGACTTCAAAACCATGCCGGCAGACGTTCATCTCCCGTCATGCGTTTCCGGAAATCTTCGAGCATGGCACGGAACAGGGACCCTTGAAGATCTCGGCGAGCTGTCTCAGATACGTTACGGCGAGCCCGAATTTCCCCGTTTGTCTCGAGACGGCGGTATAGCGCATGTGGACGTCGCGGCCGTCGGAAGCATTCTCTTCGCCGACGGTGAAAGTTCTGGGCACGAATCGCTGCTCGAGATTTCAGAATCCCGAGTAGAGCGTTTAATGAAGCGGTGTCGGTGACATCATTGTCGCGCGGCTTGTGTGAGCGAATTGAGTGCGATTTCCTCACTGGTTTGAGATCGAGGGAGCGGGAAGGGAAAGAGGGGCGAGCAAATATTCCGGGAAATGGATGGATTCAGATCCGCGATTAGTCTCGTGTCTGTAGTTCAGCTCTTCGGGAGAGAGAAGGCGGCTTTCTCACGAGGATAGTCGATACTGGCTGATGCTTGCTTGCCTGACTGGCGATTCCCTTCCCGGTCGGTCGGTCGGTCGGCCGACCTTACTTCAGACGAGCCAAAGCAGGGGGCCAGACGGGGATCGTCGGGGACCGGGCGAGGGAGCGACCGAGCAACCTATGAACAGACAGACCAGCCAAGCGCTTATAGCGTCTGCCTGTCTGCAGCCAACCATCTCCCAAAACAAGGAGGGAAGCATCGGGGGTCAGAGGGAGGGGAGCCATGGGGGATCGGGGAGCTTGTTGCACCTCGGCGTGTCTGGAGTTTCGTGAGAGCGGAGGAGCAAGCTCCAGAGGAGGAGCAATGACCTCGAGAAGGGCCGTCAACTCGCTCCGCCGAGTGCAGCGGGTGGATTCGATGGTGACGCGGGCATTCCCTTGAAGTGCGAAATGCGGAGAGGCTATTGGCGATTACATGGGATCGTGTTTGGGTTCGTTGGTTGACAAATGCCATGGCGCTCTAACGGAACTCGGCAAGAGCTAAGGACCCTGATTCATTTCGATTGGAATCATTTGAATCCGGGAGAGCCCCTAACATTGGAATCCGTGAACTAGGTGGATGTTTTAGGGTTCCGTTTGTTCCAGCCCATAACAGCTGGGAAACACGCCAAAGCTGAGTGATCTCAGTATTCGAATTCTCCGGTGCGTCACTCGGCTGCGGGGGATTTCTGTGCGACCCCAATTATTCATCGGCCTATGTACTTAATTTATGTCTCTTCCTAGTTGTCATAAGGTGCGGTAAATAATCTCGACGAGCACCTGAGACATTCGCTCCCGTTGATTATGCGGGAGCCTTTTGCGATCTTATCGCCGCACTTCTCACCCTCTCATTCTAAATATACTCTTGTCTGACGCACGCGGAAGTATAATGACAGCCTCGCTACTTTTTCCCGGAAGGATCTCTAGGACGGAATTTCCGAGGAAGTTCCATGCTCACTGATTGTGAGCGTCAGGGCGAATGCCGTTCCTGATCGAATAATTGGCAGGACAAACTGACAGCTAGCCGCGGATCTTGAGTCTGACTGAGATCTTGGGTCGCTCCTTCAATGAGCCGTGTCGGCTCGAGTCACTTCGGCGATTGTGGGGTCTCACAACGGGGCAATCCATGCATTGACGTTCGTGGAGAGCTAGTTTCCGACGAACACGGTGTCATTCCAGGAACGCTTCCGTCGAGAAAGAGTTCGCACCCTATTGGTACGGGAAGCCGCCGCTGCCGGCCCGATTTCCCTGCGCAGTTGCGTAACACATGATAAGCCTTTAGAGCGGAGCAATCTTTCTAGGTCAAGCCGCCCCATGGGAGAGGACCTTCAAGAGCAGAGAACTAGGAAGGACATAGTCAAAACTTCCCTATCAGATAAGACACCTAACGCAGCAGCGATACCTCCGGGAGGGGAAGGTCACAGAAACCGAAACGCATCCGTTCGTCCAGAAGTCCACAAGCGAACCATTAATTCCGTCTCACTGGAATCTTCCTCTCTTTCTCAAAGATAACCAAAACCAACGGAATCTCTGCTTTCACTTTTACGTAGACCGCACTATAAGGCTGGCGAATCAACAAGTTTGGCTCTGCGCCAAGCCGGTCGAATCGCTTCCGCGCGACATGCCGATCGGATACCCCGACGTCAGAGAACGCTGCCAACGTCCACCTATTCCTGGGATGAATCCTCGAATGAGCCGTTCAATTACGTACCGGTAACGGAGCTGTGTCGAGATGATTGACGGTGATGGATGATGAATAAAGAGATATCCAAACAAAGAGAATGTTCGTTGTCTTCACACTAGAAATTCGTCGTAGTCGTAGATAAGTCGTTTCGATATATTCGTCGTTCGATCGTTTCGTTGATGACACTTCAGTTCATTCACGAACTGTATGATCGGAGCTCCGAAGGACACGGAGTGCTTCTCGCGAATGCTCTCTCGGGCCAGATGGTCGCTCTTTTTGCTCGGGGGTGCTCCAGCCAGCCAGTCAACGGTAGTGGAAAGAGCGATCTCGCTACTGCCGCTGCTGTCGTAGCTACTGCCAGACTGGGGGCTGCTCAATGATGTCACGCGTATGTGTCTACCGAATCGACATGTGCGCCTCTATCGTGGATGCTCTACGCGCGCACGATCATGTTGTACTCCTTCCCGCTGGTGACTGCTGCCGCTGCAGCTGAAGCGGGAGCGGCCGGAGCATGTGTTCGACCGACGGAACTTCATGTGACGAACGGAGAAACCGTCCGAGAACCGTACAGTCTACGACGACATGTTCGTGGCCCGATGCTCGCTGACGATCGCCGCATCTTCGTACACAGTGCAGCCGATAATGGCGCACGCTCGCGCTGCCGTCAGCTACTGCGGCACATAGCGGGATGGAGCGTGCCGTGAGGTCACGACCAATATTCCGAATGCTTTAGCTAAGTGATCGGGAGGGATGGAAGCTCCAATGCATTGCGCAACATGCGGTCCTCCGACTCGAGGCGGGTAAGCGCGACGAATGTGGAGATCCTACGCGATCCTTGTGGTCGAGTCAGGAATCACTCGCTCCGAGGAACCGGCGAGTCAGGCAATGATCTTCGTCAAAGCGGACCCAAGTACGTGAGCACGGAGCTCTAGGCTGACATGCCGTGCGTCGTCCGATCGGAGGATTCGGGACGAGCGCAAAGCACTGCGAGACCGTGGCTGCCGGACAACCGACACGAGCTCGCGGGATGGTAATGTCCTTAGCCTCTGTCTCCGTATGCTGAACGGACATCCATGGCAATCTTCTTCAACGCAGTCGATCGACTCGGGGGCTTGCCGTGATGAATAGATCTTCGTGATTGAGAATTTCTAACTCAATGATTGTTTTCGGATATCCCCTCTATAGGTTTCCCCCGGACTCTTCCGAATCGCGGGTCTCCACAAATCTCCGGATGGACCCTCAGCAGCGAACTCAGGGACCCTGTGGACCGCTAACCATCGCATTTGGCCCCATGGGGACCACCGGATAGTCGCAGTCCCTCTTCAATGCGGATTGCCCTCGGAACCTTTGCGCTATACATTTCCGGAAAATCCTGATCTGCCGAGTCCTGGCTTGTTCGATGTAACGAGGCCCTGCCATTTTACCGTTTTTCCGAGCGATGAACTGCGCATCATTCATGCGAAGCTCAGGCTCAACCCCCCTCCAAGAAGTCTTTTCCGTGCTCGTTCGGGACTTTGTAGCCTTTCCGAGCAGAATTTCCCTAATTGATTGGGACATCATCGATTCCAGCGAGAGGGAATAGACTTGAGTAAGAGAGACTCTTCCTAAGCGGCGAAGCATCGGGGCTTCCGCTCCCGACGACTAGCCTCAGCAAGGCTAGAAACCGATGCTCAGTTTCCGACTCGTATTTTCGTCTCATTCGGCCGACTCTTCCTCGTGAGGTCGCCGAGCTCAATCGTTCTTGCTGACTCGACGCCGGAGAGAGTCCATTGTGAGCAGTGGCAGATCCATGAGCAGCGGCAGCAGTCAAGCTCCGAGAGCACACCTGGACCCGTAGCTTGAACCTAGGGCACAACGGCGGCCGCAGCGCAACACTACCATTCAGTTACTAGAGTAGGACGATCCTCTAGAGTAGGCTAGCGACGACTACGACGAGGAGGAGGAGGTGGTGGAGGCCGATGGGTCAGCCGTCCTAGGTTAGTCTAACCAGACAGACACCGCCAACACCAGGTTCAACGTGAAGGTGCCTCAAGACAACAGCTGGTCTCTAGACAAGACTCGGACCCCTGTCTCAAACGCTCACTGGATGCGTCGAGCTTTCGCTCGCAGCCTGCCGGCGTGTTGTTCGACTGGCACAGTGGCTGAATGACGAGTTAGTGGAAGGGTTACTCCGACCGGTCGAGGACCCAGACAAACTAGCCAGCCGTCCAGTCGATCGAACGAACCGCTAGCCATCGAGCCCGAGCTAGACGCACCGCCAGACAGAACGACATGTAGACACCACTTGGCCCGCCCGATGATTGCGCCCCCTTCAACGATCCACACGCGACCAAGAGGACACAAAATTGGCTCCAGCTCTGGACGTAGTCGCGCGCACACGACCGAAATTCTTGAACAACGGCAGCCTGCGAAGCGTCCGAGTCAGTTTCGGCGGCAAAGAAAAATTAAACGCTCTTCTCCAACGCCATCAGGAACTCTGATTGAGGTGGTCACCTTGCGTAGCGCCTCGTGAGGTTCCCCCCCTCGCGAGCTCCGATTCGGACCCCCTATGGCCCGTTTTTTTTTCCGCGGTACCCCTGGACCACAACAGATAGCGTCACTCATTGATTTCTATTCGTTTCGATAATCAGAGATCTCCTTGGGAAGCCTCAAGACTCTCGGCTTTGAGGTGATAAAGCCACGGGAAAAATTCCCGTAAGTGCTATTGGTTGAAGCTGGCGATGCAGAAGAGAGTGAAGAAAAGTCCCGATTCGACTCCGGCTGGATGTTTACACCAGACGATTCCTGAACAGGTTTCCGAGCCGTTTTCTGCGACGTCGGCGTCGCTCCGGGTTAAACTGCGCGTTTCTGGCTCTTTGTACAGCATCGGTGCAGCGGGATCGATGTTCGCACGGCTCAAACAGCGGACACATCGAAAATTCAGTTTTGATGTAAATAAGGGAAGGAGACGTCGGAATGCAGGCAAATAATAAATAGATGTTTATTTAAAGTTTCGTCCCGTCGATGTACGTCGGAACGGCCGCGTACCTCTTCCCCGCATCGCGTCAATCTCATCGTTGCCCCTGTATGCGAGCATCTCAACCTGAACACCAGTTGCTGCTCTCGACAAATCAATGCATCCTCTCGGAGATATTTACCTAGTCGTTTCGAGTTTGTTCCCGATAGCTCCGAGCCCATCGAGCCCGTCTCTCAGACTTGCGGAAGCCATCGAGAAGCTTCGACTTATCATAGTCATCAGACGAGAACAAAACAATAGCGAAGAAAAATCTTAGACGAACAATATAAATGTTTCCACTGCAAATGATTGTCCGCTCCTCTCGGAACTTCATCCTCGAATATCTTTCCCATCGCGGAGCACCGCCGGCGTTAAATCTTACTGGTCGGCTCGCTCACGTTTCTCTCTGGACAGTACGCGATCTCCTCATCCAGCGCGGACAATGGAGGGGGGGGACGATATAGAGAACAAGTATCGAGATGTCGGAACTTCATATCGTACACGACGACAATCCCTGATCACCGCTCATTATCAACCGATTTTGCAGAAAACTCCGGTGAACCCTCTGACTCCGGTTCTGAAGCTCCCCGTCTGAATCCTCCAAGACGGCTGGTTCGGATTTATACCATCATTGAAATGACCAGCTAATCACCTCTCACAGTCTTTGAGGTCGCTGCTATATCGGTTGATAAGAAAACTATCTGAATCATAGGAGGAACGAAAACATTGGGAGAACTTAACAACGAAATTTTTCATATATGACAAACTAGGTAGCTGGATCATCATCAACATACATAAACTTCCATCAGGCAGCATACACGCATTTAGCATCAGTAACAGTGAACGTAATCTTTCGGTAATAGCGGGCGACGTCACAAAACATCAGGCATGCTTTCCAACGTGGAGGGACTCCGAGATTCCGACCGACTCAAATTACCCGGCATTGAACGGGTTTCGCAATGCTCTCCAATTACATTTCATGGTTCCTGTTTGACTCGCGCGTCTGCGCAAGCTTATTTGTCTCCAGAGGAGTTCGAGTGGTTGCGAGAAGCTGGATCCGGAGCCACTCTTCAACCGGACGTCACCAGGAGGCACACAATTGGAACACGACAAATTCATTCTGTTCTCTAAAACAAGTTATTCTATTTGACTCAACGCTGGTACGACATCACATTTTTTTTGTTCAATCAACATCAACTTCTATAATATGTGTGGGTTCGTATATATCCAAATGTAAATATATATAGATAGTGGATCTATAAATCTTCATGTAGGTATGTATAAGTATGTATACGTAAATCGATACCTCCATATAGTCTTAAGAGGAGGCGATTCCTCTCTATCAGGTACTCGAAGTTTCGATCCATCAACCGCGTAAACGATGAATCGATTTATTCATGCAATCACACACTCATGAATGGGTGGGTGGATAGCGGAAAAGCAGCTCCGTCGGGGCTCTACAGGATTATCATGGTTCCCGGAGAAGGTCGTATTTACAACGATTCCGATTGGATTGGTGAGAAATACAGGATTCCGAATCTCTGAATTTTTTCCCGATACTCCATCATAAACTCACATCACTAACACGCTCTCATTAACTTATCACAAGCTGTAACGCTTACAACGCCATAGGAGACCACCGCTAGTTTAGCTGCTCACGTCAAAGATGGGGAAGAGAATCGAGGGAATTGGGGAAGAAAAACACTCCGATTGTCGCTCAGGGAGATCGGTCGCTTCGTCGAGCGTCTCGAAACGCGCTTCGTCTGGCAGACTGAGATTGGGGAGGACGTCGTGGGAGCAAATAGAATCTATGATTGAAATCTTCCGACTGCACCGATCTGTGGAGCGAGCGCGGCTCCTCAGATCGGCCGAATCGGCGTCCAATCGAAAGGGGATCGGATCGAATCCCAAGATAATCAGTGGAGGTCTCTTATCGGAGAAGCCGTGAGCGGCGATCCGGCGTCGTTGTCTTCCGGGTTGCTGTGACTTTCGGACGACGAGTACCGCTTGGAGTCCGTCGAAATCCTCTGCGCCGCCAGGCCCTGCAACGTGTACGTGATGCAGTTGAGGTGTGCGAGCATCTGCCGCTGGAACAAAAGTTGGTTCTCTGCGCTGGCTTTGTTATCGCTGACGATCTTCTGCAGCAGAGCATTGATTCGTCTTTGCTCCTGCAGGGTCTGCGAGCAATGAGAGCATTGCGGAGAAGCCGATCGCTGCGGGGGCTGAATTACGGGCGTCTGGGACTTGCTGCTGGGCGGCACGAGAGACACGGTACTGCTGAGTGTGGTAGGATGCGTCGCGTACATCATGCCCTGATGGATCGAGAGGTTCATGGGCAGTGCCGGGCTAGGCACCGGTTGCAGGTCCATCTCTTCTTTGTAGATCCGTTGTCTGTAGGCGTTTTCGATAGCGGCGTACATCGAGTGTGTGTACGGGGTTTGGGATCTGGTGGGCGCTGGATGCAACGGTAGATGGGGGGTATGGGGGGGACTACGCATGATAGGCGAAGATCTCATGCTGCTCGAACTGGACGACATGCTCAACGAGCTCTTTTCCTTCGGGGCGGCGATGACCGTACTGTGGCCACTCGCACTGGGCACTCTCTGTTTCTCGTTTCGGCCGTGCGACGGTTTGGACTCTTCGTGTTCTGACGAGGAAGATGAATCGTGGTGATCGGTTTCCGAAGAAACACCCTCTGGAACTTCGGCATTCATCGAGATCGGGCTGTCCGAAGCTGCAAGGGAGAGGAACAACCGGTTAGAACTCGGGGTCAGACTCGAGGGGCAGACCCTACTTCTTCAGACCCGGATTCTGAGTCGAAAGGTTTCAGTCGACCGCCGGAGGAGCAGCCGGAGCCGTCCTCCGGAACGTTCAGGCTCGGTCGGTCTAATTCCACTCGCGCAGGATGACGTGTGAATAGTCAGTGATGATCGTGATGATGAAGACCGTCCGTGTCGTTTTTGAGCTCGCGTCCGTTTGTCTGTCCGTATAGCTGTGTGTGTGTTTATATGTGACGCAAGTGACCTGCTTCTAGTGTCAGCTACTTTCTGGTTGACTGACTGGATAGTTGGCTGGCCCTATCAGGGTGACCGTCCCTTGTTTTGTGAGTGGCGAGCGACGGCAACGGCTCCGCCGACGACAGTCAGAAGATTCCAACAGCAGCAGCAGCAGCTCCCCGGGCACATCAGAAAGAGGATTCCGCAGCGGCCATCGCAGCTGATGCTGGGTCGGTCGTTGACGGCAAGCTCTATTCTTGTGTTTCTGCCTCTTCGTCGTCTTCTGGAGGCAGGGCGGCCGCGTGACGGCATTTGGGTCACAACGGGGCTGAAACCGCGAGCGAGCCAGCGAACGCTGAACCAACGAGCAAACGAACGAGCGAGCAGTGGGGTAAAGGACCGTCGTCGTTGTTGTTGTTGTTGCTGCGGTTGTTGCCGAAGCGGACGTCCAACGGGCAGGCGGAAAAGGACGTGCACACGGTACACAATCTACAATTGAACTTTCGACCGAGAGTGTGAGCGAACGCTTGAGCCAACGATTCACCCGTCCACCCTCAGCGCGGCCGCGGCCTGGACTCGTCGGACGCTTTTTCGGTCTGCGTGCTGAACCCATTGGCCACGCGGATTCTCCCAATTCGATTCTAGGGGAGCGAAATCTTCGAAAATCGGAGAGCAAGATTTTTCCGCGCCCCGCCGTCAGCGGATGCGGGTTCGCGCAAACATCCGAGCATGGATCGCAGCGGGCGCATGAGCAACGCAGAATAAGCAAGTAGCGGCAGCATGTCGTTGTGTGGGAGGCATCCCTGGTCGGAGGCTCAACAAAACTCTCTCGCTTTCTGAACCTCTGAAAAGACCAGCCATCCAAGCTGTACAACACAAAGACTGAATTGGGGCACCTCTGCCTGCCTGCCGGACGGCCGTCGGCCGACCGCTCGGCCTGACTGCCTCGCTCCTTCGTCGGTCGTGTATGTATAAATGGGCCTAGCGACGACGACGCGGTTGGAGCGACAGGAGAGCCAGCTGGATCGAGAGAGGCAGGGAGAGTTTTCGAGGTCGCCCAGGAGAGCATCTGGTCGACCGTCTAGAGAAAAGGGACGGACTAGAGCGGAGCTACCTACACTAGTCTGCCTGTCTGCCAGCCAGCCCTAGAGAGCAGAGGAAGTTCGTCCCCTCGACCAATCTCGGTTGGTTTGCCTGCCTAACTGCCAGACTGCTCACAAGAGGACTCCTCCGGTGGTGCGGAGCAATAGTCTTGCCGATGGGGATACACACAGTACCGAGAGATGGATAGACAGACGGACGTTCGCGCACTGAGCGACACTCCGAGTTGTCAGACGGATTTCCGAAAATGCCTCTGCCAGGAGGGGGGGGGAAGCGCGCTTGTGACGACGGCTGAGTTTAGATCTTCTGCGGAGAATCCCATACACTAGGAGACAGGGGAGAACGGTGTGTATCGCTATCGTTAATCCCGATTTCGGACGGTATACACTGTTTCCGGGAAAGAAGTTCAGAGGAAGCGCTAGATCCAAAATCTCGGGAGAAGAAATAATTCAAGATTCCGTTTCCCTAATGTAAATATCGATCGTTCCCCAAATGGATTGATTGCTGGCTCTGGCAAGCTCCGCGATGGAACCGAAAGGGAACCATCATCGCAGATCCAAGGAATATGATTCTTTCGATTCAGTATCCGGTGTGTTTGTCCCAAGTTATATATCCGGTGAGAGGAATCTCCATTAAGAAATCGGCCCCTTTCACGCCGTCGTATTTTGCGTAGTGCTCTGCATCGAATGAATTCTGGAGCCCCGAGCAGAAATCTCCCATGTTTCCGCCTGTGGAGAACGATGACCGATCTATCAAACACTTGGCGAGAACCCATACGCTTTCTCATACAGGTCGCCGGCTGCAGTGACAGAGTCTGCCCTTACCGCTGTCTTCGATGATTCAACCTTGAGTCGCCCTTCTGTTTCTTTTCGCTAAGCGCTAGCAAACCATACTCTAACCTTCTCTGTCGTCGTCCCTCCGTCTGACGACTCCAGCGCTCGATGCACTTCGTGGACGGACGGACGAACGGACGGACAGATCGTCCGCCTCAAACACCACATGGCGCTCTCTGAATGCTTTGTCAGGGCAAAGACATGAATGGGAACGTAGAGCTTGAATCAAGTTGGCCTGCTGCCTGTTACTTGGCTGCCGGTGAGCGAGTTCGCTTTGGGAAAGACCAAGCGCAGGAAGTTCAGCCCCAGGTGAAGTGAGTTGGGGTGAGGTGGGGTGGGGTCGCCATGACCGGGTCGGGGTGAGACCCAGGGCACAGATGGCCGGGCCCAGTCCGGTCGCCGCTCGCTCGCTTGCTCGCTCAGTCGCATGAGTTGGGCTTTTTGGGGATAACTGAACCAGATGCAACCGGACCGGGGTTGGTTGCTCAGACTTCGCAAGCAAGCCAGCCGGTCGGCCCGATGGCCGGCCGGCCCACTCGGGGAAATCCCGTCCTGCGAACCTGGACTCCGAGATGAGGATAACCAGTCTCCGCGCTCCAACCCGGACCTAACGGTCCTTCCCTCCATTTAGCTTTTCGCCCCTCAAAACGAAGTTCACCCACCGGTCCGCTGCATGACCGGCCGAGCAACTTCTGTCGCTTCGGCTGGAAAACGGCAATGGCGGCCTCTGGGCGAAACGCACGGCAACCGCCCACCACTGCGGGATCATCGTCCGGCCACAATGCTCCAGCCAGCCAGCCAGCCAGCCAGCCAACAAACCGAGCATCCAGGTTTCCATCCAAACAACCAGTCTGTCCGTGCGTCAGACCGCCAGTCACTTGGAGCCCATCAGCCAGTCGAGCAGCCCCAGGCAGAAAATCCAGAAAGTGTTACAACGAACCCGCTCTGGGTCAACTACGGGTCGTTCAACCCGGCGCGCAACTGCCGTTCTGGCCGCCACCACAACCGTCGGCACGTCTGCCTCCATCCACAGAAGATCTTCTGTCGCTGCCGTTTCTTCCTCGACGGCTACGGCAGGAGCAGCGGCGGCGGCAATAACAGCAGAGCGGCCAATGAACGACCTTCAGATCAGCTGATCGCCTGACTCGAGCCCCGAGCAGCATAGGGACGAAAGCGTGCATTTCATCGCCTCGATCAGGATAATCGATCAAAATCATCGTGAACAGAGTTGATCAGTCGAATGATCATCGTTCCAGAAGGGATGCTCTTCCCGACCAGGGGTCGTCCCTACTCCCGGCTGACGACCGGAGCACAATCGCCAGAGCCGTCGTCGCAGCAGTTGCTCGGCCCGACGGTGGCCCTCAAGGGCAGATAGGTTCGTTGCACTATGCGGTTTCTGTTATTTGCTCTCCATGCTGTCCAACCGCCCGCAAGTCCATTCCGTCCGGCATCCGAGGACACCGTTCAAATGAGTGACGGACTGGCATGGTCTCGATTTCGGATGCCCAATCATGCCTGCTGTTCAGAATTCTCCGATAATGACAACGGAGCGGAACGGAAGGTTACTGACCAGACTTTTCTGAGGATCAGCTGACGACAGCTGATTTCTGGCTGGGTGCATACGAACATCCTGGAAACGTCCAGCCCGCCCTCCAGCAGCTTTTAATTGATATCCGAGTCTCTTTCCGAAATTCGCGGCTGGAAACGATTTCGGTCAGAGTCCAACGCTCACCGACCGCTTCCTCCAGCTGATCGCTGGTCTCGTCATCGAAGCGCAGTTCTAATTCGGTGGTTGCGTCCGGTGTTCGTCGTCGACGCCGCGGCGGCTAAGTTCAATGGCAACACAGTATCGGTGTGACTAAGCGGGTAGAAACAGTCCAGAAAGAACGTCGCTCACGGGCGGGTGAATGGCCGCGCCGGTGCAAGGGTGCAATGGCCGCGAATGCCTAAGAGTCACACACACACACATACAGCTGACTCTGACGACCAGTACCTACCTAGGAACAAGATCAGGTCTGTACAGAGCGAAATTCGATCCCTCTGCGTTGGTTTTTGCAGGCGCAAGCTGGAACGGACATATTTTTTTCGTTCATGTCTGCCCTCAAATCAGAGTACTGGAAGAGCTTGAGCGATCTACGGCGCATTATCCCAGAGGGAACCCACAATTATTCGCTCAGGGAATCAAACCCCATCACGGATCAAACTCGCTCTTCTGCGGGAGCTCGTCTCTTCGGTCTTCGGATTGGTTGCTCGGTCGCCAGCTGCTCGTTTCAGCCGGAGCTCGGTTCAGCAGCACCGCGGTCTTCGGCGTCTTTGCCCATAGTGCCGGCGGTGCCGAAAGGTCATTGAACCCTCAACGTCAGACGTCTAAGAGCGTTCTGGTCATTGTTGCCGGCTTCGGTACGGGTCAGTCTGGCTAACGACACTGTCCGTGTGCGAGCCTCGGCGAGATTCCGTGTGCAACGGCGTCCGTGCAGCGCTCTCTGATGACCATCGCTGACGTTCAAGCGACCGATAGAGATCAGAGTGAAGAAGCGAAAAAAAGAGCTTTAGAGTCCGTTGCTACGGGCAGTTCAACGCTCGCTGACTTGGGCAAAGCCCACAAGCTATCGGACGATGGCCTCGCTTGCACCTGAGAGCAATTGCGGCCAATGGCAAAGTTCGCGGCCACGGCGCTCGATAGCTGAAGGGTTATATCTGTCGATGCACTTGTTGAGCTTTCGAAGCTTCCGCGACAGAGCTGTCACGAGCAGAGCATTGACATTGAGCCCTTGAACGGCTGGAATTCGCTTTCCCAGGAGAGCGATTTCCACTTCTGGAAAATATCGAGCGAGTACATTGCATGAGGATGGAGATCAGAGTAGATGATGAACATCACCTAATGAGAGACATCCTGGTCGCTTCCGCTGGAGTTTCGCAAAGCTGTCTTAAGCAAGAGGTCATTGACCCCGTGACGAGTCCTCGTTCTGGTAGCTCGTGAGAACCAGAAAGAAGACAGAACCTCATCTTTTTCAGGGCGAGACTAATTCTGTATCCCCCGAGAGCGGAATTACGTTCGGTCGAAGCGAAATTCGGTCCTAGAGAGTACCCTATGGAAGTTCCACCAGCCGCAAGCTGGATACCTGGTCAGCTCGGGCAGGGCTCGGCCGATTCCGTGACAGCCTAGAATTGCCTAATTCTAAATACGACTCAAGATTGTAGGGAGCCTCGCCCCCTCCCCCATGATCCTCGACTATAATTCGGGGTAATTCTGACTGGGAGGCGGGCTTCGACTCTCAATCAGAAAAGGTTTTTTTCTGAAGACGGTACTTTCAAGGCGAGTGTCACCGCAATGGAAGATCGGCTAATCAGACGGGCTATTTCCCCGTCGAGTGAAGGAAAAGAGATCTTTCATAAACGAGAAAACGAAGAGAAGAGGAAGATGTACTCACTGGGCTCATCGTCGTCGGGGTATGAGATCTCGGTTGACATCATGTCGGTGATCGGGTAATATCCTTCGATTCGGTCTTTCTCGTTGATATCTTTCAGAATTTTGTCTCGGCCGAGAGCAGCCTGTTGAATGAGACTCGGTCGAGTGTACGGAGATCGTCCGACGATGGCACTGACTCGTGCGGTGAATTCGCCTTGCTTGTGCTCTCGGACGTCGCGCTTCAACCTCTTCAAACGCTCCCGAACCTGCATAGGACTCCTTTGAAAACCGTGTTGCGTGAGAACGTCCGAAATCGTTCGATAAATTGACTGGAACTTTGGCACCATCATAGTCGGCGAGTTCTTGTCGAAGTTAGCGTCTTCTTTGGCCATTTCGACTTCGTACACATCCAGCAGGATGGAGGTCTCTTCACGGGACCACGAGCTCCCCCGACCCCCGAAGCGTCCCTGGAGGTCTTTGGCTTTCCCGACCTGACTCACAGACAAATCCGTTGGCAGTTGCGCGAGCACAAGTTCCATAGTAAGCAACGAGAATCTCCAAGAAGCGCGAGATCTACCGAGTCTGGGTTGGAGCAGGCGAGACGTCGACGGCGATGTCAGGTAGCGAAGATTAGTCGAGCGCGCGAAACTTGAGCCGGTCGCTGTCTCGATTCACGGCGCCCTCGATCGATGCAGTTGATTGAGGCCGATTCCGAATCGGAGCAAAAGACTCGGAAGAAGAGAGAATAATTCCACGAAAATTCACGACTTTGACGTTTCCAAAACAGCGTAGTCCAACAGCCTCTGTCGCTGCATTCAGGAAGCCGCAACGACAGAGCCGGGTCGAGCTCCGAAAAGTGAACTCTAAGGCTGTCACTCACTGACGAAGGAACTTTCCGGCAACGCACTTCATCCGGCCGTGCGAACTCTACTGCACCGACTGTTTGTTGCCGACTGACTGACTGACTGCTTGCCCGGCGACTGCCGGTTGGGCTGCCTGGTGGCGCAGAGCGTCGTCCCTTCTGTCGGTCCGTCAGTCGGGCTGTATCACTCACTCACTCATTCTCTCCGTCTCTCTTGCTTGCTTGCTAACGGTCCCTTGGCGCGGCTGCCTGCCGTTGCCGTCGTCGTCGTATTCGTCGGAAAGGGAGGTGGTAGTCGTCGAAGGGCCCGGCGGCTTGCTGGTGGTGGTCTTTCTATCCAGCCAGCCAGAGATAGCTATTACGCGCGGACGGGATCAACGACCTCAGACAACGTTATGTTTCTGTTGTAACATCTCTCCGGCCGACAGCTCCGGCGAGAGCCCGCCAGCCACAATCCTGTTACGCGCGCGGTCGCGATCAGCTGTTCTTCTCCAATGGCTGTCTACGGAGAACCGGCCCGCCGCCGCCGGCCGGCTGCGTGCCTAGCTGACGGGTTTCTTGACTCGTTTACTAGAACAAAACGGTTTCCACTTCTTCTCGTTCGTAGCGAGCGGCAACGACCGCAGTAGGTCACAGGTCTTCGATTCACGTCACAGCTTTCATTTTTTTTCACTGGTTATCGATCCCGGGTGAAATTCTGGTTACTAGCTGACTGGTGGACCGCGGATTCCTGCACTGGTATTGAGGAGGATGATCCCAAATGAAGGGGGAGTCTTTCAGGTGATTTCTCCGCAGGCTGCGAGGGGGAGGGAGGAGAAATAAATAATGATCGAGAGCCCATGGTACCTAAGTTCGAGTCATAAATGGGGAGAGGTGTTCGATGATACGGCGCTCGAGTCCAGTTTCTGGGACGCTCTACGGCATCTCCATCCTTGAGACAGTCCTAGAGATGCTAATTGACTGGAAAATGGACCTGTCATCCATTATCACTTCTGACGCTCGGGTACTTCGACAATGGCCGGTGCCAATGGATATGCCGTTCGGGAATTAATGTGTGTACTTCCAGAGGGTTGAAGAGAACCAGTGGGTAGCCTTAAGTGGGATGAGTTGAAGTCGCTTCGAAGCCCTAAAGATTCGTTCGGAGACTTCAAGACTGTCAAATATTGATGACCAAAGTGAGGGAGTGACGAACCACCGCCTCACAGCTCCGGCCTTACCAAGGTTCCGAGCTCGGTGCCAAGATTTTGCCCATGCCTCTTGCTGACAGCTATAGAGATTGAACGGCTTTTCTCTCCGCTGTCGAGAGCGTCTGAGTGTCGAGGCTTCAAAAGATTCATTCGTCATTGATGTTCTGGAGCATCAATGCAAGCTCGATCAAGGGGAGTAGGGATCCGCCGAGGTACCACGCTGCACTCGGACGAGGTGGTCGATTCCTTCAAGTCCATGCGTCTTCGATGAATCAAGTCCCCTACGCGGAAATCTTTGCAAAATACGTCTCAGGAACGAGGCTCGTCATCCCGGATAGATCGATCTCCCGCACTATTAGTAGACGATGCGACGATGTAGTAATTGGCCCGTTTAGTTGACCGCTATATCAAATTCTATCGAACAGGTAGCGGTGGCCGCTGCACTTGCCGCTAACGAAGACTAGAAATTAGATATGTATCTCTTGAAAGAGGTCACGGGTGTAGGATCGTCTCGAATTTCGGTGACCGCCCGAAAAATCCGGCGTTCTCCGTTTTCGGATAGCCTCTATCAAAAAGGATCACCGTATCAATCATATAATCTCTGTGCCTCGTTGCGCCCATTTTTTTTGCTCCGAGGCGGTTCTGACATACGGGTGTCCCGTATCACAACTGGGTCCGTGATCCGCTCCTTCTCCCGATCGCGTCTCCAGGAAAGTAACCCTCCTCAACGGTGAACCATTCTCATTCAACTCTCCCCAGCCCCTTAGTAGGCTAATAAAGAGAAGTTGATCCCCCGGCGAGTCGAGAAAATTCTTGGGGAACTGAAGAAACGGGAGTCGTGGAATGCGAACACGAATCGACCTCGGGCTTACTCGATACTATTCGAAAGACGGTTTGGACTGAGAAAATACGGCTGAGAGCGCAGCGCCGCGACTATAGAATCCGGGGACCCTCGCTCTCACGGAGCATCGTGATGTTCGGTGCACTCAAGACGAGAATCCGAGAATTCGAGAAGGCTCCGTGCAAAGTTTTCGCAAGAGCTGAGCCTTTCCCGCACACTCCATGTTTCCACACGCAGCGCTCTATGGATCGACACTCCCCGAAAACCGATCGATGAGCATTAGGATGGGTCTCTTCCGGATGCTTTCTCGGAGGAAAAATCATGTTCCCCGCGTAATTTCAACTAGAAATTTTCCCATTCTGTGAAATCCATTCGAATTAACTCGTGACGGCAGGCGTGTGAGTGTATCATTTTCCGCTCTCTCCTTGCAGAGCCTATTCTACGTATTCGCAGTAGCTTTCATAGAGAGGGAGGCTTTTTGCTCGTGTTGCTGGAGCGTAGGCTTCCGGAGTCGTGCCCAGTGGCGTGGCGAGCGAGGGGGCGGTGGGGCGGTCCGCCCCGGGCATCACTGCTCCGGGGGCATCACAATGCTCGATGGAAGTCCCAGGAAGCCAAGTCTTCCCCGAGGTTCGGTCGTGATGAACAATAATGAATGGAGACTTATGATGACTCCCATCGGTATCCAGATCGTGGAAGGACAGATTTGGGAAATTCCGGAAAGAAATCTGAGGGGGGGGGCATAATATCGAGGTCCCGGCACGGAATTCAAGGTTTCCGCCCCGGGCACCATAGAGGCACGCTACGCCGCTGGTTGTGCCCCCCTCAAAGGAGTCGGCCGCCTCCAAAATCGTAGGTACGCGCCAACATACACCTACGTATAGTGTACCATCTTTTCTACAGGCGAGTCTCGTCGACGGCCACTCTATGATACCGGAGCCTGGCAGTGATGAGACCGATTAAGATGTCAGGGCCGCTGTATCTAGAACTAAGGGTCGAAATCAGCGATTGAGACTATTCTGCATGGTCGGGTGGGCCCTCGCGGAAACCAACTATCTTCGAGTCGAACGAGGAAAGATCATCCTGATAATATGAGGGGGTCCTGCGATATCGATACTGCATACGGACCCCGAATCAGTCCAGGCAAGCCCATCTCGAATCGGTTCTTCGAAGATTCTCCGGTTTCTCAAAACGAATTCCTCCATTGCTCCAATGAAGCCCACTCCATCCGATTAATCTCAGGGTATGGCGCCTCATGCAAAATATAATTTCAGTGAAGAATGATTACCTCCGAGCGGCAGCGGCGAAGCAAAAGAGGGCGCGCGGGAGCAAACCGTTCCGGGCGCCAAAATTCAGGTCCACCACGAGGGCGCCTTCCCCGCCCAATACGGGAGCGCTAATAACAGTTACTAACCTATCTTGAGTCTTCCTCTCATCGAGATTTACCTCGAATGATATGGAATAGACAGCCACTTCTGATGAATAAAAAAAATAGGCTCGACGGAGCAAACTTCCCCGACAGGAAAATTCTCCGTAGGAGCGTTAAGAAGGTGTGAAGGTTGATCGCGGCTATAGTCCGAGAATCGACTGCGTCTGTCAGTCCCGGGCGGGAAGACATTTCGCCGGGTCGTCTAAAGGGAGACTCAACCGATGCATACTGGAGGCGAACCAGTGCAAAGTGATAAGTGACTCACAAGTCGAGGATGGGGAATGGACAGAGTTCTGGACCCGATACTCATGCTCAAATCATGTTCTCCTTCTGTCGAGAGAATCCGTGGGGAAGAATTTATTCCGTCGACTCAAAATTCCCATTGACGACTGAATATGTCGAGGTGATAAAACGATGATCTCCATCTTCCGTGGGATGAATCCTTAAATCTGACAGCTCCTGTCGATTGGTCGAGGGACGCTATCCGACGACCGCCCCGGACGCCACGTCGCCTCCTATTTCATCCATGGCTGGGGGGCCAGCCGGCGGAGCCACCGAGCACCTTCTCTCTCTCTTTACGCAAGCGTAACGTGGAAGGCGCTATTCGCCATCGAATCTTCCCTCAAGAATACATGGAGCGCGTCGGAACTCCTGGATGCACCGCTGCTTTCTTTGCCCATTCTGCCGTACATCTGCTCCCATGTGCATTGGAAGCCGCCGCTCATGCTGCGAGTGAGTTCCCTACCCCCGGATGAGCCCCCGCCTCATAACACGGATGATCTAGGGCAGAGGTTCCCAAACTTTTTCTTCCGCGGAACCCTTCGCGGAACCCCTAGTGTCCCGTGGAACCCGTCCTCATTTTTCAAAAATTTCAAAGTCCTGTCAATTGCTCTTTCCTTTCAGCTATTAGAGGAGAAAACACGCGTTTGTTCCGGAGCAGACCCGAATGTTTATTGCTTAAGTCAATTCTTGCGTAAATTAGGAATGCTCATCTAGCGGGAACGTGCCGTGTGCAACGACCTTCGCAGTGTGCATTCGATGCCGATCGATGCGCCAATTAGAACGATCCCCTTCGTATTGAGGAAGGCATTTTTTGGAATCAGGAAAAGAATTTGCCCGCAGGGCTACGACACCTGGGGCCCGTATATGACCGTACATATGGAAGCAGAACCTCGTCGCGGAACCCCGATTTACGAAGAGCAGCCCACGGAACACTGGGGTTCCGCAAAGATTTTTTCACGGAACCCCCGGAAAATAGCGACGGAACCCCAAGGGTTCCGCGGAACCCAAATTGGGAACCTCTGATCTAGGGCAGTGGTTCCCAACCTTTTTCTTCCACGGAACCCCTAGGGGTTCCGTAGGGGTTCCGCAGGTAGACTTTGGGGTTCCGCGCAATCCGCCACGGAACCCTTGGGTTCCGTGGAACCCCGGTTGGGAACCTCTGATCTAGGGACCCGAAACATGCGGTCAAGCCCCGTGCGTATCGCTCTTCAGACGGGGCTTGTCAGGGGGGCAAAGAACCCGAGCAGGCTCCGACCTGAGGCGTCGCGAGGATTCCGTGCAGACCCTCGGAGACCTGCCTGGAGCGCCGCACAGGCTTTTGAGACGTGATCGCGGCAGCATACCCAGGGAGCTCCTCTCAGCCGCTCGGCTTGCCTCGGAAGCATGCTGGGTCGCACAATTAGTCAAGACGCGATAGGGGATGAAATGCGTTATCATTCGTAAGGCTCATTCTCAAGAATATTAGACCGAGACGGGAATAATTGAAGCTGTTCTGGAAAAATGAAGAAGTTTCTCGTGTTCTCGAATAAGATGGAGAATGAGACAGAATGAAATAGATGAGGCTTGAATAGAGATCTTCCCCATCCGTTCCCATCGGAATCGGAGTTAACCGACGACAGACGAACGTCCCGCTGGCCCCTTGTCACTGACCAGACGATTTTCGACTGCAAAACAAACTTTCGTGCCTGGGGCGAAATTGGGAATTTTGGGCCCTCTTCGCTGCTCGCAGGCATCCATGGGACATTACACCCCCGAATGATTGAGCTAGATTCAAATGATTAGAGATGCGAGTTCCACGGGAATCCAAAAATGTGCTCAGGAACTTGCTCTACCATGCCCCACACTACGGAGGTAGATGGACTCGAGGGGATTGATTATTATTTGACCTCGCCTTCGGTATCTTCTGTTCTCAGACCGGGTTGCTGAGCTAGAGAAAGATTCCGAAAGTTCGCACCCGGGCGTTCTTCGAGTCTCCGTTTTCGATTTCCACTTGGGTATCAAGGCTTACTCCAGCGGCCGTAGTGTCGAATTTTGTGCATTCGCAACGCAGCTCCGAGTTCTAGTATCGGGCAGGCCTACGGTCGGACGATTTGCGACCTCAGTGTACTGCACGTGGAATGGAGGATCAAAATGGATTTTCTGAGTTCAGAGCCGGCCTTTGTGACATTTCGCCGAAATTTCCGAAAACCGAGGACCTCTCGCGTCGGGGAAGCTCTCTATGAACGAACTTGACGGTGAATCTGCTCCCCCTGGTTCGGGCTGATCTGCGTCATGTCAGATGAAAAATCGAATGTCGGAGGGAATCGGTGAGCACACGGCGTCTTGCCGAGAGTTTCCATACATTCGCGTGTTTGGAATATATGGAGCCGAAGATCTGAAATTGAGGAGTTGCTCGGAAAACTTTCCGAGTCGGAGCCCTTGCTTCCTCACAAGCCCTGCCGATTCGTGGGCCGAACCGATTGATGAGCCCCATCGTAGATTGATAGCTCATGGTCACCTCTGCCCACAGAGCGCTTTCTGGAGCTCACTCAGACCCCAGAGAGCGGGGAATAAGGGATTTGTGAAAATATTCGAAGCTCGGGATCGAATCCTGTCTCCGCGCAGATCCTCTCGAGCCTCACTTTCGTCGCCACCTTGCCGCAGGCTAGGCCCTCTAGCCGGCATTCCCCAATATCTATATATATAAAATTGAATGTCCACTTGTCTGTCATGGTCGCCTATTCTTGGAAACTAAAGGTAACTTAGTCTTGGAATTTGTCGTGACGAGGCACGTAGTACCTGGGAAGGTTTTAAGCCTATCAGATCCGAGAAGAACGGACCCCTTTTCCGTCATTCAGTCATTTCGTGTTTCAAATTGCCTCTTGTGGGAGCTTCGTTATTTTTCGTTTCTTTTTTTCGTTTCGCGCTCTTTCGTTTAGCATCGTTATTTTTTGATGACATTCCATGAATTCGATCGGAATCGGACTTCGGAATAATCTCTGATCTCGCTCCTTTGCGAAGACATTAGCTGTCGGTGCCGTAGGTGCTCTTAAGGTTTGTGATGAGGCCTCGATAGCTCTTGACACTGATTCTCAACGAGCAACAAGGTTGCAGCTTGACAGAATATGGCACTCGCGAGCGCGTTTGACAGAGGATGAGGATCGTCGAAATGCGAGACTGGAAGTAGACCGTTTGCGGCATTCGAGGACACGAGTTAATGAAACGAATGAGCGAAGACTTGCGCGCTTGGATGGGGTCCAATCTCATACTCTCCAAATGCATTCCGAGGAAACGGAGGACGAACGGGTGGAAAGATTGTTGGCTGATAGAGCCCGGCATGTTCAGGTCAGGCGTAGCATACATAATGATTTGAACCTTGCGGCTTTTGAGTATGACCCTGGTATAGATTACAGCAAGCACCGTGGTGTGAATATAGGAAGAATGGATCAGGTATGTAATTTCTGCCGAGCACTCAAATTTGCTAAAGAGACCCCAGGCATGTGCTGTGCGGGAGGAAAAGTCAAGTCGCCTGAATTGTGTCCGCCGCCTGAATTGTGTCCGCCGCCTGAGCCCTTAGCGACATTAATATCTGGGAGCACGAATCAGTCAAGACATTTTTTGAAAAACATTCGAAAGTATAACTCATGTTTCCAAATGACATCATTCGGAGCGACGGAAATCATCCGAGACAATTATATGCCCACCTTCAAAGTACAAGGTCAGGTATATCATCGCGCTGGGTCTCTTTTGCCGCTACCGGGGGCTGATCACCAATTCCTTCAGATTTATTTCATGGGCGACACAAACGAGCAAATCGATCAGAGGCGTCGTTTCAACAGTGGAACAATCCGTGAGATTGTTGCAGATTTACAGGACATGCTGCATCGGCACAACGAATTAGTACGAGTGTTCAGATCTTCTCTTGAGCTCATGCCGACAGATGACTATGTGGTTGTTATCAAAGCTGATAAGACGCCAGGAGAACACGCAGGGCGATTCAATGCGCCAACATCGGATGAAGTGGCTATCGTCATTGTTGGTGAAGAATTCAACTCACGAGACATAGTCCTTCGTCGCAGAGACGGCTGTCTTAAGAGAGTTTCGGAAACCCATCGCTCCTATGATGCTTTGCAGTATCCGCTTTTATTCTGGCAAGGCGAAGATGGTTATCATTTCAATCTGAGAATGAGAAATCCAGGAACGGATGAAGAGACCAGTAAGAAGGTCAGTGCCATGAATTACTACTCATACCGGATAATGATACGCGATAACGCAGAGAATCATATCCTGCTTTGCCGACAATTATTCCATCAGTATATTGTTGATATGTATGCGAAAATCGAAACCGAAAGACTCCTGTTCATTCGATTGAATCAAACCAAGTTACGGTCAGAGGAATATGTTCATTTACGAGATGCGATTGCCTCTGATGGCCATATTGATCCCAATCATCTTGCGAAGATGGTGATACTGC